TTTTAAATTTGATATATCCCTTTTTTTCTTTTTTAATAGTTCCATTTACTAAATTACGTAATTGTTTGTAAGACTGCCAGTCGTTATTTCTTTTGGTGATTTTGAATTTTTTCAAGGCTCTATCTCTATCAGAAGTCATAGCCTTGATTGTATCAGTTAACCAAGGAGCGTATTTCTTTGTAATTCTAAAACTTTGAAAAGGTACGTGAAGATCCAGGATACTAGTGATATTATCAGATAAGAATTGCACTTTGCTATCTACATCGTTTAATTCAAATATGATGTTCCATGGTATCGATTGTAGGTCACTATTGAATTGATTGTAATCTAGATTTTTAAAATTTCTACTGATGATGTATCTAGGTTCATTTCTTACTAATTTTAATTTAATATTGAATAAAATCATTTCATGATCCCCTACTTCCGGAATATGTTTAACTTTTTGTTGCATTATAATATTATCATCAGATGTTATCAAATAATCCAGCAGAGTAGCTGAATGATAAGTGATGCGTGTTGGTTCCTTTATTAGTTGTTTTAACCCTAGACCCTCAAGAGTATTCGCCACTAGTTCACATGCGGCACTATTAATATCAAAAAGGTCCACATTGAAATCACCTAAACAAATAATATAGTCCACTGTAGGTTGAATGGATGATATCGCAGATTCGAATTGTTCAAAAAAATAATTACAAAGTCTTACATGAGGGTTATAAAATACGCCTAGACCAAAGGTCTCGGACTTATAGGAAATCTTCAACCACATCTGTTCAATTTCTTTACCACTAGGAATACGTGAGTATTTTATACTATTTTTTAGGTAAATACCTATTCCACCTCCACTGATATCTCGCCCACGATCTACTCTCTCAAAAAAATAACCAGGTATGCTAATAACATCATTCGATATATAACTTTTAAGCCATGTTTCACTTACTGCGAGTAAATCTAAATTGAGATGCAGAATTAGATTTTTCACTTCATTAAAGTGAGCTACCAATGAACGAGCATTAAGATGACCACATTGCAGGAATTGCTGCATGTTTACGAATTAAAAGAAAAATAACATCTTACAATAGATATTATATAAACTATCAGCTTCGACCTCGGCTTCGACTATAACAAAATTGATTCAAACTTAAGTAAGTAGACGATTAAAGTCTTAATAATCAAATAGGTCTAACTCCCTTAAAACAAGAAGAGTAAGAGCTAAAGTAGAATAAGTAGCTATAAATTACTGATAAATAATAATGTATGTCCTTTCCTATATTAATAACACTATATTATGTAGTATGGGTGTACTACAACAGGGAAAAAAATACAAAAAAAAAAAAAATCCAATCAACAATAAGTAATGCGCTGCCAAAATCGCGCCCTGAGTTGATCACAATAATTAATTATAAGGAAAAACTAAACAAATTCCCCCAATAGAAGATAATATTCAAAGAAACATATTGTATGGTTTGTTAAATTTCACATGTATACAGTGCCACAAACCAAATAAACAACTATGACAGTCTTATCAAGTCAAGTCAATTATCGATTTTATAGGTTTCCTCGTATTGTTCAGAAATGCGTAAATGTTACCTTCATATGTCCAGCAGTTTTTGGCACCCACAGATTCACGCACTTTCATGAATAAGTTTCGATTTTCAGAGGATAGCATTTCACTGATCACAACACCACTTCCCTTTAGATTTTTCTTAGCGGCAAACACTTTCTGCTTCATCCATTTATTTACAAATTTAACAGCCAACGGCCTAGGCTTCTTATCTTGACGTTTTTTTCCCATCCGATAGCAGGTATCGATGTTAGTATTCAAAATAGATAGTTTGAGTTTGATTAGTTTAACAACGACATCCAGTAGATCTTCCTTCTCTTTCTCGTCAATACCATTTATCACCAGGAATTTTGATCGTTGGTCTCGCTTTAGTGTTTCCACATCTTTTTGTTGGTTAATAATTCATTGGTTGATATTATCCAATTCTGATTTGATGTCTTTGATTGACTCACGAAATTTGTTTTCAAAAACATTTATCGAATCAGCTAAGTTATCTTGATTGCCTTCCTTCGGCGACATTTGTCCTTTTATGTCCGCCAATCCTTGGTGTAGCAATGCTTCCAGTTTTTCAATCCGTGATGCGAGTTGTTTGTTCTGATTTTTATCCATAGTTGACATGTTTCCACGGGTATCAACTGGCATTATATGTTTTACAAACACTAAGTTACCATACACACTTAACTGGGCGAATAAACAAGAATATGCAAATTGATCACAGAGAGCGACTCCAGCACGTCCTACTCAGTTGACGCCATCTTAACATCATAAAAGCTGATTTCAAAAAGATATATAAATTTAAACAGATTTTGCAATGGAAAACCGGCCACGATTTCCTTTACCTTTTTTATTTTCTTCCACGCCAAAGACCCATCGACAGCTTCACTTCAGCCTGGTAAACTAGGGGCCCTTTTTTCATCCTGGTATAGGTAATTTCACAGGTCTGGCACTTTGTTTGATTATAGGAAAAAAACATCAATTTCGCGTTTTTTTTCACACTTAGCACATGGCGGGTGAAGATTCAAGTGCTCAAATCACTTTTTCGAACTGTCCGATCGGACTCCTTCCCTTGTGCACCTCGTGCAGACATGCGCGAGGCCTAAGGTAGGGTTAACGTGGCGTACTTATTTTAGAGATACCGCGAATTTTACCAAGTTAAAAACAAATCGTTCTACATTTCCATGGTGGTACACTTTAAATGTTTTCAATTTGTGTGTGTACCGGGTGATTCACCATAAATGTACCCCCTCTAGCTCACTTATGTTTGTACGGATTTGAAAATTTTAAAAATCATCTGAAATGATTTTCCAGAATTTTTTTTCCCGTTGCATCAGAAAATACAGGGTGCTCGGAACAAACGATCTACAGAGTACTACTTGATTTTTTAAAATGGAATACCCTGTAGTTCATTGTATTTCTAGATTCTCCCTGAAGAATTGATTTCATCAATGTATCACACTTGGGGTCTAGCGGGAATAATTACAGAGATATAGGGTGTTCAAAATCGAGATTTTTCAACTTTCGGATTTTTTATTCATTATTGGTCAAAACGGCTTTAATGTCCCCATCTCAACTTTTGATTTACTATCTACTGACATTCAATTGGAACATATACAGTGTGGTTCAAGATTCAGGATTCTGATCACCCTGTATCTGTTACAATTATTAAATGTCAGTAAATAGCAAATCAAAAGTTGAGATACGGACATGAAAGCCGTTTTGACCGATAATGAATAGTTTCGTCACAGAAAAATCCTGAAGTTGAAAAATCTCGATTTTGAACATCCTATATCTCTGTAATCATTTTCGCTAGACCTCAAGTGTGATCTGATGAAATCAGCTCTTCAGGAAGAATCTAAAAATACAATGAAAAATAGGGTATTCCATTCAAAAAAATCAAATAGTACCCTGTAGATCGTTTGTTCCGAGCACCTTGTATTTTCTGATGTAGCGAAAAAAAAACTCAATCGAAAATCATTTTATATATTTAAAATTTTGCAATCGGTTCAAAAATAACTGAGCTAGATGGGGGGGGGGGACATTTATCAATTAAATTAACTTGAGGTATGGTTAGACTTGAGCAGGCTGGTATTTTTTACTCTCAATGTAGAACTTTACGTGCAATTTTCACATCAACAGAAAAGAAGGTATTATAGAAGGCCAAATGGAACTAAAAGAGAAAGTAAACCTATCATTTAAATCAACCTTGACCTTACTGATAAAAACAATGTGCCAGTATCTCGAATTTGGTACAAATTTATAGGAAATGCTCAATTTCTATATAAAATGCTGAAAATTCTCACAATACTCATATTGACAAAGAAAACAGGCATTCATGTAATATATTTTATTTCAAAAACTGCAATTATCACAGTTTCTTTTTGAGACGAAAATATAAAATAAAACTGTTCAAAGAATCAATATACATGGTCCAATGTCACAAATCAAACACATACACAATATAAGGATACTCAAAAAATCAGATCGGTACCTATGGAAGATCATAACAAATTTGTACCATTTTCTATAGTATAATTTTTGACGCTATTCATATGTTTGCTATAAGTTGTGACTCACCTAAATAATTCATGGTATTAAACAGTTTAGCAGAAATCAAAAATAAAAATATATTTTTTCAGACTACACCAGTCCATGTCAAATTTTGAATACATATGTATTGTCTAAAACAGGAAAAACGGAACTATGTTCTCATACAATAACTAATTTATGTATCCGATACAATTGATTTCAATATTGTTCCACAGGGAGAATTGATTAAGACAGATCACTAACTTCATATTTTTCATATTCCTTCAGAAACCAAAATGGCGAATACAACTGAACTTATAAACTTCAGAACTTGCAGGTACTTTCAAATCGCGCTATATTTTTTTACTTATGATAATCTGAAAGCCTGGCCATTTTTGAACAGAAAAAGGTATGGGACATCCAAAGATATGGTCTGTATCTTGTCATACCTATATCAGCTACAAGTAACTTTTAACAAGTGTAGGAGTGCCCATTTTGTTTTGTGAACGAAAATAAAAAAGATTAGTGGTCTGTCTTAATAAATTCTCTTTCAAACATGATCAATTGAATGGGTCTATAAATTAAAAAGTTATTATACAAAAACAAAATCATTTATTTTTGACAACCCTATACTTATAGTAAAATCAAAAAAAAAAATAGGTGTGATATGAACATAACAAACATTTTGCAATATATTGTTAATTCTACTCAGTTATTCATGTTCATTAAAAGTCGTAATGAATGATTTCAAAAGTAAAAGTAAATATGTTTTTAATACAAGAGAAAAATCCTGTTCTCGATAAAATAACAACACATTCTTGATTGTATTAATTCAACAAACAAGTAATGTTTGTTGAATGACTAAAATCTCGGAACTGGACGCAACTACACCTAATTAAAACTGCAGACTTGTTTAATTATTCTTATTGACGAAATTGGCAGCAATTCTTGTCTTCCTTTCTCTTTTAGGCCTATTCTGTTGGTGGCCTTTTGGAGAATCCTGAACGATAAATAGTAAAAAAAACGATTAAAAAATATAAATGGTTACTGACCTTCATTTTGGCGCCTTTGTTACTGACTTTTTCGGAGGTATCTGCCACATTGGTACTCTCATTTTTGCCCTGTTCCAACGGTTTGCTTATACTGGCTTTATTTATATGACTCTTGACAGCTTGCAAGGGGACAAGAGAATTGTTTAGGACAGCAGTAGCTTCGCTCTTGTTCTTTGAAGATCGTTCAATCGATTGGTCTTCCGTTTTAGACGATGACTTGTGCTTTGTTTGCTAAAATAGTATATAAAATAACTTGTGAATTTTTTCGTTACTGTCAGAACTCAACTACACCTTTTCTACACCTTTTCCAATAGTAATTCAGAAAGCGTCATTTATTATTCAGAATGTATCATTTGTAATTTAGAATGGGTCAATTGTAATTCAGCCTATGTCATTTGTAATTCAGAATAGTTGATTGAAATTCAGAAAGCATCATTTGTAATTCAGATTAGTCAATTGAATTTTAAAAAATATCAATTGTAATTCAGATTAGTCAATTGAAATTCAGAAAATATCAATTGTAATTCAGAAACCTTCATTTGTAATTCATGAATATGGAACAGTGTTACTTTTGCATGCATACCTACCTACACTCCATCATTATCACAAGTACCTACCTAATGTGTATAGGGAACGAATATTCTAACTTCAAATAATTATACATCATCTCATAGAATGAATAACTTCAAAGACAACTGTTCAATCGCATCAATTCGATTGTTTCTAAATGATTGTGAATCTATTTCAAATATTTGGTATTTGCTATCTTTTAATCGGTTCTTTTTTTCTATAATTGTCTCTTTTGACTTGCTACAAACATTTAAAGAATGTAACGTAGTTAAATAAATACTTTACTGTATGATTTGTTGGAGGAGACTGTGCTCGAGCAGTACAGCATACTACGATTCACCATGCTGCTGCTTTGACTTTAGAAAATATGCCCGTAGGTCGCTGACTGATGGATATTTTTATCTGCTATGTCTGAATTCAATTCCAATATTGTTCTATTGTTCTATTGTATTATGAATGAGTTTAATAAAAACAAACGTGTGTTGTTGTATATCCCACATAATATAATTACTTATTAGATTTCGCGGTGAACAACAACTATACTGTCTGGATTCCAATTAACTAATCTGAATTACAATTGACTATATCTGAATTTCTATTGATGCTTTCTGAATTTCATTTGACAAATCTGAATTACAATTGAAGTTTTCTGAATTTCACTTGACTAATCTGAATTTCAATTGATTTTTTCTGAAATTCAAGTAACTTATCTGGATTACAAATTACGTAGTCTGAATTACAATTGACGCATTCTGAATTACAAATGACGATATCTGAATTTCAATTGATGCATTCTGAATTTCAATTGAAAAATCTGAATTACAACTGATATTTTCTAAATTTCAGCTGACGAATCTGAATTACAATTGATATTTTCTGAATTTCAATTGACTAATCCGAATTACATCTGACGTTTTCTGAATTTCATTTGAGAAATCTGAATTACAATTGACGCTTTCTGAAATACATCTGGAAAAGGTGTAGATGTATTTCAGAAAGCGTCAATGCAAGTTCAGAAAGCGTCAATTGTATTTCAGAAAGCTTCAATTGAATTTCAGAATGGTCAATTCAATTTCAGAAAGCGTCAATTATATTTCAGAATAGTCAATTCAATTTCAGAAAGCATTAATTGTATTTTTATTTTATTTTATTTCAATTTCCGAAAGGGTCAATTTTATTTCAGAATAGTCACTTGTATTCCAGAAAACGTCAATTGTATTTCAGAATAGTCAATTTAATTTCAGAAAGCGTCATTTGTATTACAGAAAATATCATTAGAATTTCAGAAAGCGTCAATTGAATTTCAGAAAGCATCAAGATCGATTAGTTAGTAGAAAGTGCACTCCATGTGAGAATGCATAGGATGTTCAGTGCTTCCTGTAGTGATGTTTTCAATTTTATCACCCCAAATTCCTTTTTCAGGTACCTTTAGGTACTTACCTATATACTATTTGATGAACAGATTACAGAATTTGAGGTATAGGGGACCATCGGAGATAAACTCATTTCTATTGCTATGATATTTTCACGATTTTTTAAGTTGTTTGGCAGGAGAACACGTCGTGGAAAGTGTCTGGCAATTGTATGTTCTCTTTCATGATAGGGTCCGATTGAACATAAAAAGATCAGCTTTCGTTGAAATGATGTTTTTGCCAGTTTTTTTTGTACTTTCAACACCCGGTATCTCTTGAAAGTCCATCCGGTACTGAATATTTTCAACCCCCAAAACGATTCCACCGAATAAGGTATAACACACATAAAAAATATCAACCTTGTTGAAATGACGTCTGGCGGTCGTTGGCTTTCAGTCTATAGAGAACAATTTCTGAAATTCAATTGACTATTCTGAAATACAATTGATGCTTTCTGAAATTCAATTGACGCTTTCTGAAATTCAAATGATACTTTCTGAAATACAATTGACACTTTCTGAAATTCAATTGGCTATTCTGAAATACAATTGATGCTTTCTGAAATTGAATTGACTATTCTGAAATACAATTGACGCTTTCTGAAATTGAATTGACTTTTCTGAAATACAATTGATGCTTTCTGAAAAACAAGTGACTATTCTGAAATACAATTGACGCTTTCTGAAATACAATTGACGCTTTGAAATACAAGTGACTATTCTGAAATTAAACTGACGCTTTCTGAAATACATCTGGAAAAGGTGTAGTATTTATAGTGGCGATTACTTAATGATTACGAATACGAACAGAACAAAAAAAGAACAACAATATTTACTATATTTGCGGTTACGTTATAAATAAGCAGTTACTGTGTAGATACGACCACAGGGAACCAACTGCGAGTAAATATTACGGTTTGCCGACGTAGCTGGAACTAACACAATTAAGTAAGGCTTACGTTCCGTCGACTTCGGAATACGTAATAATACAGGCTTGTGCTCAAAAGTACGCCTAGCGGGAAAGTTGTGGTGTAGTTTCGATTTTTTTCATTTCTCACTTTTTTTGCTGAGCTGAATCCGAATCTGAGGTTTGCTAACAAAATTTCCTGACGCAAACATTAAAAAAATCCAAAAAAAAAAGAAACTATTATTTTTTGCGGTTTTTCAGATCAGAAATCAGAGAAGATGAAATTTCCTACAATTTTCATATTATAGTTTTCTTTGCTCGATGAACCGTTGGGCTCAAGCGCTACTTGAAAATTTTGCGTATTTTGGTTGTATACGGAAAACACATTCTCCATATGGGAAGAGGGAACTTTCGGCTAGTATACATACTTGTATATACTTAGAAGGCCTTCTCTGAGGATCAAGTCAAGTGAAAGCTTAAGAAATCACCATAGACATATAAAAAGAGGAGAGACGAAATTGTTTACATTTTGATCCGATCCATCCATCATTTCATTTTCAGCAGAAAAAGCTGTGGAGGATGCTGATATCCTAATAATTATCAAAACAGCTCTCTTGTTGGCCTCTTAAGATGAATCTGTGGCAGTGGTGGGGGAAGACATTCGCTCTTTCTAGGCTACTTAAAAGAATTAAATCTCGACACGTGTTTGTGTTTACTTCTATACGGTGGTATTACTAATTTTTTTGAAAACTCAATTTTGAACTACCTAAATAATTGAGATGAAAGGAATATTGACTGTACTGTTTTGAGCAAACTAGAAACACATTATTGGACATGAAGTTGAAAAATCCCGATTCAAAACACCCTTTATCTCTGTAATCATTCCCGCTAGACCCCAAGTGTGATGTATTGAAGAAATCAGTTCTTCAGGAATAATCCAGAAATCATCCGGAAGCGACAGCTAATTGAAAATATTTTAGAAAAATAGATCACTTTACGCATTGGCTGTACCCAAAATTTCAGATTGATGTCTCTTTCGATTCTCTAGAAACATCTAACGAATTAGTTAAGTGAATGACCCTGTATTATTAATATTGACCAACTTCGGGCCGCGTGAACTCTCGAGCAAAGACGGCAGATGGAAAATCCTTGGGAATGATAGTTGATCGTCTAGCTTCCCATTTAGTAGGCTAAACACTTCCTCACATGAGAGCTTCAAGAATACAATCATAATAACTAATAAAAACAATACCTGTGCACTCGATGGTTCATCTTGCTTCCGGAACCAGTTCATTGGAGGGATTGGAATACCATCATCACTTCTACTGGTTGGTTTATCATCGAGTGTTACCTGAAAAAAGAATAATAGTTTTTCACGCCAATAAGACAGTATATCCCGCGATGGAAAAATAGTGATAACCCTGTGACTGAACTAACTAAATTTCTGTATAATGAATCCATTTGTCATGTTACGATAATGAATAGTCAATCATAGTTCTAATACAAGATATAATAAACAATGTGCGACTTGAAAAACATAAACTTATACAAAAAAAAATCGATGAACTTCTTTAATCTACTCTTTTTCCAAATTTTTTTCTTATTTTTTTATGTATCTCGAATATTTATACCGGGTGACAAAGGAGACATATAACAGCCTGTAGTTTTTTCATTTGAAGAGATATGAATTTGAAATTCACAAGTTATATTATAGATGATGGCGCATCCCATGAACCCAATGACAACCCTGTTTGATCGGAAGTCGACCCAACTTTTTTTTTTTGAATGGCACCTTGTATATTTCTATAGTCTATCTTATTTGCCTTGATTGAGACACAAAAAATGTTGTGGGCTTCCGGTCTACAACTTCAGCAGGTTGAGCAACTCGAACAGATTTATTATTTATACAGATCACAGATGCCAACCCTGCAAGAGAGTGTTATCCAAACAGAAAACAGATAATCTAGACTGAAAATACATCTTCAGATCACACCAGATCGGAAGCACTGTTTGTACAAGATCATCGATCTACCTTCATGATAGCCAAATAGATCCTTTAAAATTCGACAAGTTTTGTATAAATCCTACAAAAAACTCCAAACTCTTAGGTATAACGATAGACCAGTCTCTATCTTGGTCATCGCATATTCAATTGCTCAGAAAAAATATCTCCCATTGTTGGTATATTATACAAATTGAGGTCTCTTATACCTCTTAAATACTTGAAATCAATTTATTTCTGGGGTACTGCAGCAAAATCTGTTTTGAAACCTCTGAAATCTCTTCAAAATAAAGCCATAAAATGTATTTATAAACTACCATTTCTGAAATCAACATCTAGACTATACAAACCAAGGGATATGCTAAATATTGACTCTCTCTTCAAAATGAAAGTATGCATTTCCCTAAAAGTAAGAAAAAGCACTCGAATCTTAGTTTCAATATTGATTGTGATACCCATGAGCATCACACCAGTGAACATTTGGAAACTGTCAAAATATAAACCCAATTCGGGAAAAAATCATTGTATTTTTGTGGAATGAATATTCATAAGAATGTGAATGAACGCATAGGCAATTCGAATGCAGTACTTGAGTGTATTAGTGAATATTCTGTTGATCATGGTCTCCTAATAAACCCAAATAAATCGCAAGCGATTTGTTTCGGTACTAAGTCACTTATAGCCAGATGTAAATTTCAACAGACAGTACCTATCAGTGTTGATAATGTAATAGTGGAGGTGAAAACTAAAGTACAGTAACTTTGGAATAATTTTTGATGAAAATCTCACATTTGGTTCACATATTCTAAACAAAATTCGTACCTGCCACCTCTTATACAGATCTTTGTGGAAATTTAGGTACATTCTGCCACCTTCTACTGAATGAAATCTAACTAACTCACTAGTACTTACACATATCGACTATTGGGCACCTGTCTACTATCATTTTCTTAATGATAAGATGCGTAATAGACAGCAAGTAATGCAAAATAACTGTTTACGCTTTTCATATAGAAATATCAACAGACGTGATCACATAACATCATTTCACAATGAAATGAAAATACTCAAAATTGAGAAACGGGTCTCATGTTTATATGCATCAATTGTTTATATGGTGTTGTCTCCTGAGACTCCCAAGTACTTGCATGAATTACTCATCAGAAGATCTACCATTCATACAGCAAATGTTAGAAACGCTGATTCATTTACTATACCCTAACATCGTTCATCCAAATTCCAAGTTTGCTTTGAATATATTGCACCTACGATGATAAATATGTATGAAAATTTGTTCATTGGTACTCTAGATATGAAAATGTTCAAAAAATCATTCAAACTGCATATACTATCAATGAACCAATGATATGCACTGTGTAATTTCAGTTTTGTCTCCAACTTATTATTTTGATTTTGATTGTTAATCTCATTATTCATTGTCATGTATTGTCATGTAATGCTCACCTCATGTAGGTGCAGTATTTGTATATTAATCCTTGTGATTTGAATCATCCAAGGCAAATATGAAAAATGGCTTGCCAACTATTTGCCTTTTGAAGTACAATGATATTTAAACATGTATTTTTGTTATTTTTTGTACTTCAATAAACATTTTTATTATTATTATTATTATAAGTCTACCCAACAGAATAAAATCTATTAGGTTCGTCACAAAATTTAAATGTGAACTGAAGAAATATATTTTATCAATTTAATTCTCTCCTTGCATCAATTGATTCTGATTGAACTGTCCATCTTTCATTGTATTGCATATTTGATTTATTAATTTTTTTGTTGGTTCCCTCTATAAACATTGTATGTTTCTTGGGATCAATAAATGTCATTATTATTATTTACCTTTTTCATGAGGAATTCCAAAACCTCTACAGCGACATTCTCGCTCGCCGCTTCTCTTGATTCGGCTGGTTTTCCAATTACTAGTTTTCCATCTGATAACGTTATTTGGGCTTGCGTCATATTTTTAACATTGAAATATTGGTAACGGGGCAAACCCAAACCATTCGACTGATAATAGGTCAACAGTCTGATGCTAGCAGGTGCATTAGCAACAGGCTGGAATTAAAATGTAATTATACGATCTTTAGAAGTTTCTAGTCCATGTTCAGTATCTTGTTCTATCGAAGACTAGAACCTTTGGCACAATAATCACACCACTAACCAAACCAATTTTTTAAACGCCTGGATATGTGTTTTATTCTTCTCCTGAAGATGTAAAAGTAGTTAGCAAAACACGTTTCGAGTTTAAAAAATCGGTTTTGTTAGTGGTAAAACAGTCTAGTGTGATAAACTTGTTCGTTGATAAAGAGAAGAAGTTAATAATAAATGAACTAATGAATAAAGCAATATAGGTTGTACTCTTTGTTTATTCAAATCGTTTACGACTTACCGTCAACATATCGAAAGATATATTACTGGAAGTCGTAGTACCTGCCCTATGGATTTTTGGATCAACAAGAGGAGCCGTCTCTTTTTTATCAACCGTTGGAGGGTTGGTATTATCGTTAATGTTACCGCCAATTCTCAGTAGATTTTTAAGGAAATTTGTATTGACTGTGTGTGCCTTGAAATAACATATAGTATTTATTATACAACTGAATACAATTCTTTATGATTACTTACTCTTTTTGGTAAATCATCTGGCTCTTTGTTGTCTGCATCTCTGACCTTATGATTAGTCGGCATCTGGAAAATATTTTTGATCATTGTTTTGTCTATAGTTACTTTTCTTCAGTTGAAGAATGGCAGTGGCAGCATTCATTTAAGTTTCGTGTGAATTATTGATATTTTGTTATTCAATATAATGATCTTCAGTTCTGAACCCTGAGACTGAACTGATCAAAGTAAAATTGAACGTGATCATGATGATTAGTTTTCATATTATCTACGGAAGAAGATGGCAGATCAGTCCATCAGTCAATTTACTATTCATAAATTTCAACTCTTCATACAGAAATATACAGTGAACACTTGAAGGATGAAACAAATTTGCTAAAAGCTTGATATGGCCTATTTGAGTGAATATGTTACCTAACTTTGCGATCATGCCGGGAACCTTATCGGCAGAGAAATCTGTCTCGCGCGCCAAGAGCTTTTAGTACGCTTTTCACTACGAGAGTGATGTGTCTGGTGTTCCAGACTTCTTAACGCTGTTGGCATTCTAGAAGGATTGCTGCATTTGAAATGAAATTATGGAAAGAACAATTTGTTTTTGTGCTCTTTAGTTCAGCTGTGAAGAGGTTGATTCAGATCTTTTCAAATGGAGTATACGAAAACGAAGTACAGTAGCTATTTGTTTTTTAAGAAAATAGTGGCACACAAGCGGCAATATTACAAGTAATACAAGCAATACAAAAAGGACTTCGGTACAGTTGACTAAGTATAACACTTTTGGAAAATTCAGAATCAATGGAACTCAGAGACATGATAAGCAACAAAAAAATATACGAATTATAAATTTAAATCTCAAAATTGAAAATGAATCTTTGAAACAAGTGGGACAGACATATAAAGTAAAAGGAAAAAAATATCTCCTATTATTGGAGCCCTGAGAAGATGTCCCAAGCTCGATAAAAGGGTTGCAAATATAATTTTTCATTCTCATATAATCAGTCGCATCAACTATTTGATAAATATTTGGGGATACTGTTAAAAACAATTTTAATAAAATATCTGCATTATAAAAAAAGACATTGAAAGTACTGTATCGTTTACCATATGATACACTATCAAAGCAGTTATATAAAATAACAAAATCATTTACATTACAAGAAATGTTCAAAATTGAAAATATGAAAATATCATGCAATATCATAAATAAAAGATTGATATCCAACTTTATCAGAAATTGAAATAATGAATTTCATGATTACCAAGCTAGATAACATGGTTTATTGTATCTTGGCATTGCCAATTCTTCTATAGGACAAAAAGATTCACCGACGCTGCTCTGTTTGAATATAACAAATTACCAGATAATATAAAAAAAATACAATCAAATTCAAATACGATCATCAAAAAATTATCATTGCTGAAGGACATTTTTAAATGATTTTTTTGTATTTCTTCCAACTTTTGATTTCAATTCAAATTGATTTTTGTCCACCAATATGAACTGTTTGTAATCATTTGATGTTTTCAAACATTATATTATTTATGAGTTTGATATATAGGTATTATTGTTAACTATACTTCCTTACACCAGAACTTGTTTCTGAGTAGAAGTAACATTTTCAATAAATAAATAAATGAATAAAGTGGTTATTATGCCGAAAAACGCATTTGTGCCTGGTTGTCAAATTGTATGGCGGATTCATTCAATCGTTCCGTTTTGAAATTAGCATACTCTCGGATCTGGCATGCGAACAGATGAACCGAGCACAGAAAATCAACAATCTTAGATCGTATTGTAATGTTCTTCAAGAATCCTGAAAGGATTTGAGGAGCAATCACAGACCTACGGGATGAAGACATAACTTTTTTTTTCATGAATTCGGACTCTTCTTGTTCATAGAAATAGTTATGAGAAAATAAATTGTAACCGGCTCGAGAACCTATGACGATGGCCATGTGGTTTAAAGAATGAGGAACAATCATTATAAGTATTAGTTAGCTGGGTATCACCGGTGATTCATGGGTTTCTTATTCAACAGTGAACAGGTTAGAAATTATAATCCTGCAATTGACTGGAATAGGCTACCTATCTGTTTTCTGGATTGTGAAATATGAGAAAAAAAATTGTAACAGGCTCAAGAACCTCCGTCGATGGCCACGTGGTTCAACGAATGAAGAACATTTATTAAAAGTATTAGTATTAGTTAGCTGGGTACTAACCGCATACTGTGATTCATGGGTTTCTTATTCAACAGAACAGATAAGAAATTATCTCGGAAATTATAATCTTTCAGCTGACTGGAATAGCCTACCCATCTGTTTCCTGGATTGTGAAAAAAAAACAATGTACATGTGGTAGTAGAAAGAACGCTCACATTCACAATAACTTATAACTAACTTTTACTCACCTGTTGTGGTCTTTGTCTCTCATTTGTGTTTCCTTGATTTCTTTGTCCCTCATTTCTAGGTCCTTCGTTTCTTACACTTCTTTGACCATTGTTTGCATAGTTAGGCATAAAATAATTATTGCTCTTTTGAGGACTACTATTAAAATCGTCTTGGTTGAAACCTTGTTGGTGCTGTCGCCATTGTTGCGTTGGTTGCGGATTGTAATTTTGTCTATAATTGCCATTTTGTGGCTCGCCACTGTATCGACTGTAATCTTGTTTGTTATAACTCTGTCTACCGTCTCGTCTATAATCTTGCCCCTGTAGGTTTCTGTAACCACTATTTTCATAATTCTGCTGCTTCTTATCATAGCTGTAGTTTTGTTGTTCCTCCTGACCGTAACTTTTCTTATTTTCTCTTTCTTGGCGATCATTTTGTTCTTCGTCATCTCCCTTTTTTGGGTCACTCTTCTGTGAATCAGCAGTGAAGTTTTCTTTATCTTCGCCGTCTTCATTCTGTTGGCTTTGATCAAGAAGATTTTCACCTTTCTGAAATCTGGTGTAATCTTTTTTGATCTGATTGATTTTATCCTTATTGTAATAGGCCTCAACGCAGTCTCTCTGCTTGTTTCTTTGCGCATTCATAACTGAGAATTGAGCAAATGCAGAATTTGACTGATTGAAGGATGGAGGTGATTCAGTCTCAACATAAGGTTGTTGTTGTGGAGGAAACCATTTCTGTAGTATAGCTTGTTGAGGTGCCGCAGACTCCGGATTATATCTGCCGTTGTTAGAAGATTCTACCCTTTCATCTGTGGAAAATGAAATGAAATTACTTCAACATTGCCTTTGACTATGTTATGCGAATCCAACCAAATCTGGACTGGTATAAGAAACCATCAATATGTAATTATTTGCAACATTTTTCCCCATTTTTGGTGGTTCAAAAACAATACGAACAATACCATGATGACAGCAGATGAGCACAAACTGATAGGCTATACATTGGATATTTTGAAAATGTCTATAACTACTAGTTCTTCACATATTCATTGCATTTACGCATTATTCGATATCAGAAAAATATGATTTTTGACTATTAGAATCCGTCTTTTTGGACTGGTAAGTCTCAGATAATTCAGATGATGAAATGAAATTATCGAATATGTAAACCTAACATCAGGTGCGTACTTCGAAGGCGCAAATTCATTTCTGCATGGGATTTTTAGCGATTCAGTGATTTGAACACGCATGACATTCCGGAAACTAATCTACTCATTCTAGGGAGAACAAATGTACTCTCAATAACCACCTGTGGGTCTATTCTAGAGTTTGATCGTATATGAATTTTATTCGTCTTTTTTATTCGTACAAGTATCGTATTCGAATGATTCGAGAATAGACCCTCTGGAGTCCAATTACTGAATGTCATCGCAGCCTCATCTGATGACCTTAAAAATCGTCGATTTGATTTTAGGTTATAGTAACTGTACATCAAGTGGGAATTTCAATCATCTGTCATGGCCATCAAGGTGTCCGCAAGTTCATGCAGTACAAAATCTTGCTAGTTTCGAGATATCCGTCATTTTGGGGTTTATGAGAAAATCTCAAAATTGCCTGCTGAGATATATTTTCTTTTTTACAACTTTAGTATGACAGTCTGATTTCTCTAATCAATACGTTGAACATTATCTGAACATGTTAAAAATATTCATTGTTTAATTTCTCTCTCCCAATAGTTCTGATTAGGTGATGTCATATAGGACATCCTTTCATGAAATATAATTTTCCGAAAATTCCACATGATACCTACTTGACAATTTTCTCTTGACTACAGTTTAGATCCCAAACTAGGAATAGCAAATATTGCATTTAGCGTATCCATGGTGATTTATACAAGGTGTTTCGTTACTACTTGGAAATATTTCAGCTATAAAATCCTGAGCTCAAAATATGAAGATTTAACCCGAATCACCTAGATAAAATGTGTCTCCTGTCTGAGTTACAGGGTGTTTTATTTGAAAATTTGAAAATTATTTGCGCCTAGTACTTTGACATTAATAAACATAACATTGTCATATTTGGCGGAAAGTGTACCCTACGAAATTATATGAACTAAACGTTTTTGGCAACTACCGGAGGCGTACGACAGGGGCATGTGACTGGTTGATCCTTCCCAAATTCTACGCCACTCGCGAAATTGCCATTTTATCACAATTTTTCGATTCTCCAATACTTATTACGCAAATATCGTAATCTGTCTTCATAGCGATAAGGTCAATATTTTTCGAGGTATTTTAAGTTAAACAGGAAGCTGCACAATTATTTTGATTTTCATGTGTATTAATTATGTCGATTTATTGTATCATTGGATTGCATTCATTACGCAAATGAAACTTCAATCCATATTAACAAAAAAAACGTAATAACATAATAATTTTTGAATTTAATATAATATAGGAGAAAAAGTTGTAGATTTTGGCTCAAGGTTGTGTTGTCTCCAGACGCGTAACGAAGGGAGACAAAAAACCGTGAGCTGAAATCTAATATTTTTCCCGTGTATAATACACCTTTTTTTGTGACAGGACAAAGGACGAATTGGTATTGAGAAGATATTACATTATATTGAAATCAGAACATTATCGACGTAAAATTTGAAGTTTTTAACAGGAATTACATCTTCTTGCAGGCATTTTCACCATTCTTTAGAGATTTATTAGATCTGACATCACTATATAAACTTAAAATATGTTGTTTTATTCAATTTGTCCTATATAAATTGAAAATTTCGAATTTGAATTTCAATGAAATCAATTCATTACATAATCATGGAACAAGACAATCAAATTTACTAATAGCAAATACGTTCAAGTCAAATTTCGGCAAACAATCAATTTTTCACACAGGAATCGTTCTATACAACTCATTACCAAGTCAATTGAAGAATATACAGGAAGCAACTAGATTCAAAATTAACTTGAAGAAATATCTGCTTCAGAGACTTTGATAATTCCATTTCTTATTTGAATACCTACTTATAAAAGACAAGGTTGATATTGCATGATTATTTGCATTTTTTTTACTTGTTATATCTTATTATAATTTCATAATTGTATGTATAACATTATGTATATTGTTTATGTATCCCTATTATAAACAACTATGTTTCTTGGGGTAATAAAGACAATCAATCAATCAATAATCAAATATCTGTCAGTATCATTATGTGATTTGATTTTAAAAAATTGCGAACTTATTGGTTGTTCAGTAATTTAGGTAGCCACGAAGTGGAATGGAGGATAAAAGGACCTGCAGTTCTCTCTCGGAGACGTTGTTATTGGCTTATTTTTCGTAACTAGCACAACAAAAGCCATCAACAGTGTTATATTTATATCCAGGACAAAAGTACTCACCTTTTTCCCGTGGGAAAAAAGTAATTTATGAAAAGTGACATTTTATAATCTGTCAACAGAGATGAAATGTAAAACTTTTTTCCCGCTCCAGAAAAAAAAATTATTATGTTGACATCATAGAAATTGCTGTTCTTTATTCATAAACTGAATTAGGTCTTTGTTGAATCCATGCACAAACAAAGTAATATTATGCAGGCTATACCAGTCTAGTCGCCTATTCTATCATAACGACTGTTTTTTCATCTCACTCCACCTTTTTTTTCATTTTTTCACGTTTCTCTATCTACAATAACCGAAGTAATTCAAATTATTAGTTTTCATATTATTCTCCTATTACTACCTTCCATGACACCATTTTGAATGTTATCCATGTAGTGGGATACATCGATTCGATTTTAAAAATGAAGGAATGTTTGGAGTAAGTGAATATTAAATGCAAGCAGCAAGAGGTCAAGTTCTGAGGCTAGCTGATATCTAAAATTTGGTTTATTAGCTTGCTGGCCGTTTCCGCGAAGACGGGACAAAAATGGGTCCAACCATAGAAATCTTATTATATATACTGATACTAGATTACTGATTTGCCTCCAAGTTTCACAGCGAAGAGCGTGTCGCGTATGCGACTTGTTTCATGATGTGCGCATGCTCAGTTTTAGGTTCTTTGAACTAAAACGTTGCCAGATTTTCAAAAAAGAGTTATTGATAAAACTATTTTAATCGAGATTAGACTAGATATTACACTATTTTTTATTTGAACTGTCACAATTTAAATTCTCTCAAAATTTGATTGATTGTCATTCGCGTTTTGCAGAGATGGTTTTGATCTTGCGTTTTCATAACAAATTTTCGATAACGATTTGTCAGATTTTCTACATCGTTCTTTTTGCTGATCTTTCCAGAAGGCAATATTTTTGTTAGTTTTTGTACACGTGTGTTTGAAAGCTGATGAGAAGCATTCTTTCTGTACAATCTTAATGAGCATATAAACAATAAGTTCTTGTTTAGTGTTGTGGTGCAAGAACAAGAGGAAGAGCGCTTGAGTTAATTATTTTTCGTAAGTTACTAGGTTTATGCTCATTGAATTTTTGATAGAAAACTGCTTATCAGGATCGACTAAAACAAGACACAACTCTTGGATGAACGCTCTGGGAAAGAGATCCCACAACAGAAGTGCTCTGTTGCTCTTCTTGGTGAAAATGCTATTTGAAGTAAACATTTCCGCCAAGAAGATATTCGAAAGGAAATAGGATATATGGAGTGTCAAATTTAGTCCCACAACTGTACCTGAGAAGGACTGATTATATTCATCAGGAAAGGTTAGTCACGTATTAAAATTGGAATATTATCATAGAATAGGCACTTTGGCAGAGAAAAATGTAATGGTCCAGTTGGTTGAAACAGGCCAATTTTTGAATCATTGTTTATGTAAGTTTAAACGCTGTTGAAATGTTCCTAATTCAGTACCTTACCTGTAAGATATTCATTGTATTGCTGATGAAGAACTCGCATACACAGCTGATTAGAATATTCTGACATGTATTATTGTATCCATCATATTCACAGCCTCAATAACAGTAGGTACAATGATATTCCTTAAGCCAGCACTGTTCAAAATAAACCTAATTCTGCACACACCTTTGATTTATTGCATTGGCATTCTAGTGACAGTATACCGGGTGACACAGGAGACATGTAACAGCCAGTTTTTTCATTTGAAGAGATAAACATTTAAATAATCCGAATTCTTCAGTAGTCCGAACAAGCATTTTTAATACATTGAGTACTCTATAATCCGAATTTCATAGTACTCGATAATCCGAACCTATACCTTTAGGCTTATTTACTTCCTATAGAAATGGGCTTATATTACAAAAAAAAATTCATTTCATAATTCGATAGAACTCACCAAAACTAGCTCAGCACCGCAAACCGTTTCTTGCTGTGAGCTCCCTACGTTTTATAAAAAATTATTGAAATCCCCGATTTTTCGGACCTCTGAAAACGAGGCGATGATGTGACGTCAAAACCCTAATTCTGAAACAAGACTATTCCAAACAGAGATGAATGATACATGATTTCTGACAGAGTGAATTAGCGCGAGATCACAGTTCAAAGAATTAATATATCAGTTGCCTCAGTCTCCGTCTGGCGTTTGGTATTTTCATTTAACTATGGCGAGATGAGGTTTATACGTCATAAGAGGGGTCCGTTTCCAGAAGGTACTATTATTTATGTCCAAAAATAATATATATCAGTTAATTTTTCGATCGAATTATGTCGTCAATCATTATTTATGTATAAAAGGATCATTATAAACATGGTTTGAGTTAAAAGTTCTACTAAGGTGTACACGCCCATTGTGAGTGAAATGTTCAGGGATTCCCCTAATTGTTCTTTTGTTAGTATCTGGGATTCACATCACGCAAGGAAGACAATAATAGTCCGTTGAATGATATTCTTGTACTTCAAAGATTAAAAAAAATGGCCTTTATAAATAATCAAAGATGTGTTAAGCAAACAAAAATTACAAATTACTTTAGAAACTAGTATTATATTCTTACTTTTATGCATATTTTAGTGTTACTTTTTCGTATTTATGTTTTTTTTTGCATTTCGTAATAAAAAATTTAAAAAAAAAATACTGCTTCGGTAATCCGAATTTTTTGGTAATCCGAATCGCCTTGGTTTTTATTAGTTCGGATTATCGAGTCTGCACTGTATTATCGATGATGCCGCTTCCCTTGAACCCAATGACAATTTTCTTCAACCACCTGTTTGATCGTAATTAGACCCAATTTTTTTTTTCATAGGGCACCCTGTATATTTCTGTACCCTATCTTATTCGCCTTGAAATTCTCTATTCAACTATGTATCACAATTTGACATTCGTTCATTGGCTGTTAAATTGCATTTTATTGAAATACATGAAGTTGGCTGTGGCCCCAATGAAATGACATTTCGATGTTTGATAGGCTTAGAAATCCAAAGGTCATTACTTAGACGATATTATCAGAATATTTTCCATACCCTAATCGGTCCCAGAAGATTGCCAACAATTTCATTGAGTTTAAAAAAATCATCCGAAAATAACTCACGATATTGAGAAAACTAAGATAGAAACTCTGTTTTTTTCATTTGGCTACTTGTGAAGAAACTATTTGTCTTTTTTTGCCATGTAGCGGTAATATGATCATTCATTTGAATACATGAAACTGAAATTGTTGTAATAATTGATGTATTGTCCTAATATCGTGAGTTATTTTCGAATGATTTTTTTCAATGAAATTATTGGCATCTGGGACCGATTAGGGTATGGAAAATATTTTGATAATATCGTCTAAGTGATGATCTTTGGATTTCTAAGCCTATCAAGCATCGAAATGTCATTGAATTCGGGCCACAGCCAACTTAATGTATTTCAATAAATTATAATTTCAACAGCCAATTAATGAACGAATATAAAATTGAAATAATATAACCTTTGTGAATTTCAAATTTTTTGCTCTTCAACAAAAAAACTACAGGTTTTTACATGTCTTCTGTGTCACCCGGTATATAATATGATTTCTATGGGTCTAAGCAGAGCGGAATGTATACAGGGTGGCTTAGGATTGTGGGTTGTTACAATTTCCACTTTCAATCCAACACAAACAAACTTCTCACCTGCTTTTCCATTCTTCTGCTTCGTCAGCCTCTGCCCATAAGACAAATTGATAAAAGAGGTCTTCGGCAGCCTGTAGCCTCTGTTCTCCGAACAATTCAGCTTCATCCCGTCCCTGAAGGGCTTATCAAACACGACGTCATACATTATGTCCCTGTCACAGCCGGTGCTCGGCTGCTGGATGGCTATAACCGTGCCCTTCAGACCGAACGGCACCGAAAAGCCTTCTCTGACGTTCACTATTCTGTCCAAGATTTTGGTTTCGGTTTTGGGGTCTGGCATCAGCGTACCGTTTTGCACTTCCGGCTGGAATAATTGAATAGCTCAACAAAATAATACGATTTTATCGAGAGATGTTTGTTGAAAACGTGCTTTGGTATTTTCCTTAATTTAGGTATTTTTGATAAACGTGGCAACCACGCATAAACTATTGTAGTTATCCTATTTGTTTGGTTTTGAACCTCGTGATTCATTGAACACATGTTTACCTGAGTATGTGTATTTTATATGATGTATTATAATATAAAAATATAACTTTCCAATATGTTCAGTATTGGAAAATAAATACAAATCATTGTTCGAAATTCGTCTATTCATAGTTCGCAGTGATGGCGATTTGTATTGAAATTATATCACCAACGCTTTCTCCAAACTGGTTTGCGGTCTTCAGCCATTACATTTTCAATTTCCAGATATATCATGATACATACAAAAACCAAGGCCTAATGCGTATATTATTGAAGGTTAAAATTCAAGAAACCATATTAGCGATTTTTTTACGGAAGATTATAAATCACCATTGCATTCAGCACCCCATCAAATGGTTATGTACCAAGTTTCATAAAAAAATCTTCGATAATAAGAATTACGCTGATGCGTAGTTATTCCACTGACTGGGGACTGACAATACCTCAAAGAAAAAATACAGTGGTGTCAGGTCCGGGGATCGTGGTGGCCATTGAATGGGAGGCTTCAACCACTCTTAGTCTAAGATCCGAACCTTAGTCGACCTTCACCGAGCTGATAATAGAACGAAATATATTTTATCATGAATTTAGTATATTAGAAAACATATTAAAAATGGGTTGCCTAAAAAAATCCTGGGCAGACTATTTTTAATTATTTTTCGAAAAATTATTTTTAATTAAATGTTGCAACATCAGGATAATAAAAAAATTGTGTCCTGACTGAAAGTATGAAACGTATAGAATGTGCAGCCGTTGGCCGTTGGGGTGTCTACTATTTACCTGGGCGAACTACTGGGTTGTCAGGTAAACACAGGTATATCGATGCCAGTTACTTTCACTGGATTGGATAATTTAAAAAAATGTATATCATCATAAGCGCTGTTTAATTGCGAACACGTTGATATAGGGTTGTCTGCGAAAATTCCGGTCCGATTAGGGGTTTTTAATTTCAACGCGCGTGGAAGTGTGTGACAGAGAGATCCGAGGTAAGTATACTGTGTGATAATAAAGGACCCAACATCGCAGTCGCTTGTGATGGGACCCTGAATAGTAGAAAGTGCGCATGCTCGGTGTGTAAACTATGGAGGGTAGAGGTACCTCTACTACCCTTCATATAGTAAACAGTGCGTGTTATTTTGGAGCAACTGATATTTCAGTAGCGAAAAAAAATAATTAATTAATTACATAATAATTAAATATATTTAATATAATACTAATATATAAAAACAATATAATATCAGTATATTGCGTTATAACCATAATGATATATCTATAATCTATAATAGACAATAAAAATATCAAATACTTACTTTGAATTTTTTTGCTCTTTCTGGAAATAGAAACAAAGTGGACCGCCAAAAATTTAAATTAAGAAATAACAAAAAAGATAGACTAGACATCTTGTATTACGATTTGAAATTTTATTAAAAAACAGTATAAATACAAAAATAATATTAATGAAAAATAAATTCTAATAAATATTTTCTATTCAATATCTGATTCATCAGAAGTATCATTTTGACTCTCGAATTCGTCTGATTCATTAGATTCTTCCTCATTTGCTTCCATTTCGACAATGTCCTGGATTTTCAAAGGAGTTTGATCTCCGATAAAACCTGTTGGTTTTAAGAAATCATCAAAATGCCAACCATAGTTTTCAGGATTTGACTTCGCACACTTTCTACTATTCAGGGTCCCATCACAAGCGACTGCGATGTTGGGTCCTTTATTATCACACAGTATACTTACCTCGGATCTCTCTGTCACACACTTCCACGCGCGTTGAAATTAAAAACCCCTAATCGGACCGGAATTTTCGCAGACAACCCTATATCAACGTGTTCGCAATTAAACAGCGCTTATGATGATATACATTTTTTTAAATTATCCAATCCAGTGAAAGTAACTGGCATCGATATACCTGTGTTTACCTGACAACCCAGTAGTTCGCCCAGGTAAATAGTAGACACCCCAACGGCTGCACATTCTATACGTTTCATACTTTCAGTCAGGACACAATTTTTTTTATCATCCTGATGTTGCAACATTTAATTAAAAATAATTTTTCGAAAAATAATTAAAAATAGTCTGCCCAGGATTTTTTTAGGCAACCCATTTTTAATATGTTTTCTAATGTACTAAATTCATGATAAAATATATTTCGTTCTATTATCAGCTCGGTGAAGGTCGACTTAGATTCGGATCTTCTACTATCTCTTACCAAATGTAAAAACTTCACAAACGATAAGATTTCCACAAAATTCTCAAACACACAGTAGCTTCGTCAGGTGATATAGGTACGATGAATTGAACTAACCTTGGCTTGCTTATATATCCTACTTTTCCAACCTGAAGGATTAGTTACCTGTGGACAGGTTCGATAAACCTCCATTTTCGGAAATTAGGCACAATATCTACATTAAAATACGGTGTACCGGATTAACTTGAAAGGATAGCAAATACATAATATTACCTACTAAGAAAAAAATTCAACAGTAGTGAACTATTGAGGTCTAATTGATCGCTAAGTAAAATGTCAAAGTTTTTGAGTTTGTTGATTTCTAATGATTTAACATGATTGAGTTCTATTCCTTTATTTTCTACGTGTAGAATTTCGAAATTATCATCAAAACTATGGTTTTCTTGTAATATATGGTTGGCGTATGTTGAATTTGTTTTCTTTTTCAAAAAATGTATCTTATGTTCGTTTGTGAAGTTTTTACATTTGCCATGGATTTCCATGTCAATTCAAAATTCTCTTACCACAATGTAAATTTTGATTTGGCCACGGAAATATTGATATCGAATATTCTTTTATGAAACTTCGTATACAAACATTTGGAGAGGTGCTGATTCCAATGGTGATTTTAAAATTTTCATAAAAAAATCGCTAATATGTTTTCTTGAATTTCAACCTATAAAAATATACGCAGTAGGCCTTGGTTTTTGTACAAAACAAAATATGTATCGTCCTAAAGGACAGTTTCTCAAGCTCCATAAGACAAAAAAAAGTTCGTCTTAATCGGTGGATTAATACAAATACAAATAGTGTGTACAGCATTATTTAAACATTTGAAAAAGTTGAGGTTACTTTTTATGAAACCGGAAGTTAACGAAGGCAACAAATCCGAATTCGTGGAAATGATTCTTAAAAACTACAAGCAATTGAAAGAAACAAACTGTATATATCGAACATATAACTGAAGAACATCTTTTATATTTAGGACAACCTTTATAGCATCACCTTTTTGAACTATCGTGAATAGTACTTTATTTGTTTCTATGGGAACTATGTCGGTGGGGTGGAATAATTTTTGCTAAGCAACGGGGATTTGAAAAAAGACCTTCGTGCTAACTAGTCGGGTTTAAGACGATAGACGATTTTAGAAGATTGCGATATCCATAGTCGAGCCGCGGCTTTGATATTGCTTGTAGACGATTTTGTGAACCTTTCGAACCTGTATTTAGTACCACCAGTCTCTGTACGTTGTATCAGATCTTTAGTAATTTTCAACCGACCACTGACATCTGTGATGACATCTGTTTATTAAAACCATCGAAAACACAGAGTGATGAATTATCCTTTCCATCCTTACAAATCAAGAATCTAGACCTATAACATCCTAGATACATCAGGAAAAACCTACATAACTATTTTCTGTGGTTTACTCATCCTGCTTCAAAACATGCGAGAAATATTACCAAACCAGAGCGAAAATTGAAGGATTGCGCCTTCTTTTTCACGTTTCTTAAAACTATTTGTGCAGCTTTTGCTTTATCGAATCTTAGAATTAACTATCAGAGAACCCTTATAAATCATGTTAAGTTAGGTCAAAGCTGAGAGGGTTGTGTAGAGAAAGTAAGTTTATGAGGTGGTTGCCAATCCAAGTTCTGGAAACGGTAGTGTGAACTGAATTGGTTGATTTGTTAACCACCCTACTATAATGAGAACATTTCAAATCTACAGCAACTTACCCTGTATATATACATAGGTTTCACAGACATCGTAACTTTTTTAACATTGCCTGGTTTGATATTATCCACAGTTTTCTCTATTTCTTCGACAACTTCCGGTTCTATAATATCGCTGCCACAGGTCTGTCTTTCTATCGTATGTACTGGCAATGTTTTCAACCAACTTTGAAGTTCCTTCAAGCGATCATCACTGAAAACAATCAAATTGCGCTTTTGTCTCGGATTATACGCGATAGATATGAGTTTCTTACCAATTATCCCCGAATAATTTCTCATCGGTGACATCATCAAAATTCGTATCAGTAGACAAAAATGAGAAAACTTCAGGAAATTTTTCACCATAGCTCATCACCAAATCGGCAGCTTTTTCAGTATAATGCCAAGTATTATTAATCTTCCTAGTGTAGCCAGGTGTCTCTTTGTTCTTTTTATTCAATTTCAAATCCAGACCAATATTGCTAGATTTCAGTTCGCCAGAATTATTTCTGACACTGACAAATATAGAACCTGTTATTCTAGAGAAAATCATATTTGGAATTGCTGAAATATAAACATGATAGCTGTAGTCAATGTTTTCACGAATTTGGATGAATGTTTATCAAATAACTTACACATTTTTCTTGCTAATTCATACAGGCTCTTATAACTCCTGGAAGTCTTGTAGTACAGTTCTCTTACTGAATTCAAATTTGGCTCTTCAATCACAGATATGCTAATCTTCATTCTACCAGTCTTCTTCACTTCACTGCTGTCCAGTACCTGAATATACAGGGTGTTCCTAAATGTTATGTGCACATTGAGGGAGGTAATATTTTGGCTTTTTTAGGACTTAGAATGGGGGACTTCGCTCCAAGTTGCCAACCTAACAACCTCTACCAATGTAGAAGCAACATTATGGAAGTTTTATTACTCAAATGGCTTTATTTCAATGAAATCTGATTGTGGGAGTCTACTCAGCTCACTAATATAAGTCATCCAGAAGAAAGATCAATTTTTGTGAACTCCAGTTCTGATTAGTTGAAAATTATGTTGATGCACCTGCTTTCATTCTGAAATATGTTATATCGTCGTCAATTTTATCACTTGTCACATTTTTGTTAGGAAGTAGTAATATATTTTCATTTGGGTGCTAAAAATCGACCCAGACATGACATCGTAAGAATAAAAATGAAGTTTCAACCTTTCTGAGTGAAAACAAAGAAAACACAGTCGATATCATAAATAAAAACACTAACATACCTATAATAATAAGCATTTTCCTAGTAAGAAAAATAACAAAAAGAAAGCATTCAATGAATACTTTTCAAGCTTACACGGCTCACCTTGGATAAAAACTGGTCAGTTTCCAATAATAGAGATACATATCACAAATGTCGGAATATAACAATATCAAAATAAGATACCTTTATTCAGATAATTAGACACAATTAGACGCAGACGCTGAAATTACAAGACTATTTGAACGTAATATTTATTATAGCTTGATATATCATGGGTAGTGAGGAAATATAAATGAAGAACAACAAATATAAAGACCCAATAACAATGTTATGTTGATTACCATTACGACGAGTCGAGAGTAGCCCCAGACCAGATAACTTTGGAACCCTCACATCCAGTTTATTATAAGTTTCTCATGAGAGTTTCTTGATCATTATTCGAAGTGAAAACGTGATTCGAACTTACTGATTTAGTTATTCTTTGATACACCATTTTTTACTCATGACACTACTGACACTATTGAAAGTATTGACATTTCAGTATCGACGTACCGCAGATGCACCAACATGATTATTAACCAGTCAGATGTGGAGTTCACAAAACTAATTTTTCTTCTGAATAATTTTCATTAGAAAGCTGAGTAGCCTCCTACAATCAGATGTCATCAAAGAAAGCTATATGAGTAATAACACTTCCATAATATTGTTTCTACAGTGGTAGAGGTTTTTAGGCTGGCAACTTGGAGATAAGTCTCCCATTCCTATAAACATGTCCTAATTTGAGTCATTTTCAAGATACAGGGTGTCTAAGTTGATAAAACAAGAGCATATTCCTCGAACAATTGCAAGTCGAAAGTGCCTTATACACTTTTGTTCAAAACTCTATAGTTGAGGAGTAATGAGCAATATTAAATCTAACAAAGTGTGTTATGACGCAAAGAGAATGTTGAATAAAGTAATGTAAAATTTTATCAATTCAGAATTTTTCCAATACTTACACAAATTTAAACAAGGTTTAGTGCAGAATGTTGCTCTCTGAAGAGATCTGGGTCGTCTCTCTTGTTGTTTATTTGAATACACTAGACTTTTCATGTGTCCCCAATAATAGTATAATAGTATGATCAGGCGACCTTGGTGGCCAAAGAACTGGTCCACCTGTTGCAATCTACTGGTGAGCATAGTTGTTATTCAATTGCTCATAACTACTCACCTATTGAGTTTGTGACAAAAGTGTATAAGGTACTTTCGACTTGAAATTGTTCAAGGAATATACCCTTAAGCTATGGCCATCGAGTCAGGGGACACCCTGTATATTCCAATAAATTGGTGAGTTCGGGAAGCATATGAAATAGTAATAACATTTGGACAAGCGGATTTCCCGTGGCGCTGTTAAGGGATAATAATGTTTAAAAAAAAGTGAGAAACGAAGGAAAATGTACCTTATTTTTTACAAAACTATGGAAGGTCATTTAATTCCATACAAATAAGGACCTATTGTTGAAACTCGAAAGGAGGCACCGTTTTCGTGAAATCTCAGAAAAATAAGACGAATTTTGATGTAAAACTAAGTACTCGATTCAAGACATTTTTTCCGATTACTGAATCGCCATATTATCCAACATTCATAAATTTTGCATTATCTATGTAACATAACAGACTAAATTTTGACTTCTTCAAAAGCTATATAGAGTGGATAAACACAGAATCTCAACTTTGACCCTATCGTATCTTGGAAACAAATCAATATAATTAGATATAATTGTGGGACATTTTAGTCCTAGAATAGACCAAAAAAACCATTTTCCTCAATACATCCATGACATTCAGTAACATCCTATTAAAGAAATTAGTTTCCATATACCGAGTGACAACGTATTCTTAAGACAAGCTATAATACCTAGAGTTTCAAGAGAATCAGATTCAAACTTGGCAGGGTTACTGAATCGAAAAATGTGATTTTTTCGATTTTTTATCAGTACGTCAGTTCACTTTTGAATTTACCACACTGATTTTTGGCATGGCTGGAAAAGGGCGATTTCTATTCTAACCTGAAAGATTACATTTTCTGGAAACTGTACTGGCACTAATGTATCTGTGACTGTAAACGGTATTTCGGGTTGTCATAACCTATGGTAAATTTTTTTGTACATTGAAAATATCATCGTCCAAGTTTCTCAGGTTATCCTACTGCCAAGGAGCAGTTTCATATACTTGAGACAGATGTGTCTCGGTGCTTTTGTAAGCCAAACCCGAAACCCTCGGTGGCGATTCTTGAAAACAAAGGAGTATAACAAATGAGAGAAAATAAGCGTATCTACATCCTTTGCATGAAAACCGTATTCTTGAACCCCATAAACGGTACAACAATGGTTTGCGGCTTGTTCCCGGGGAGTGATTCATCATCTGATTCGATTTGTGATATAATGAAATAGAGATAGCTCATTAGTGGCCATAACAAATTATAAAGGACCCCGCACCGCATCAATGGGAAATTGGCTTTCGGTGAATTTACTCGAATTTTTGATATATTGTAGAACTCGTGGTGCTGATCAAATGTCTCCATTGCACCAACGCTCTAAAATCAACAGTTACGATTATACAGGGGGATAAAGTTGACTTTTCCAGAATTTTAGATAGTAATTGTGAAGACACCTTTCATAATTTCGAAACCAAATCAACTGTGCATTGATTGTTCGAATGACCGATACGAATCTACTAAACTAAACTATAATGATTCCTGCACGTACCAACAATATACAGGGTTGGTCGGAACATGGCGAATAATTCAGTGATTTTCGGAAAAGTGTGCGGTGGATTCTCATTTAAATTCTGTAGTATACAAATATCATCATCATTTCGTGATATTAGCATCTCCTAATCAGACATATTATATACAAGATGTTTTATTTTTGATAAAATCACATCCATGTTAGGTAACTATTATTGGCATCCTCATTATGACTTACAACTTGAACAATCTATTGGGAATCTCGTTCATTCCATGATGAATGTTCACCCTGCAAATACTTGAAATATACGGAGTGGACGAAAAATCAATGGTCTTTGCTAATAATTTCTCAAGAGTAGTATGTGCAGATTCTTTTGGCCCATCTTATTGACCCTGTTTCATAACGACATTATATTCAATGAAAATAATTTGAACCATTCGATGTAGTATATTTTTGATAATATGCAGGTATCATAGGTTTTTCAGGTGATAGTGAAACAATCAACAATAGGAAACAAGAACAATGAATATACAGTTATTAGTTATGGATAACGAAATATTCTGATATTCAATCACAAAAAAAGTTCTGTACCTTACATAGTATTTTACTTCCGTGTTATGACAAGCGATTATATTTCCTCGATCACTAATTCATAAAACGAATTCGTTTCACGAAATGAAAAAGTTGAATTTATTCAACTTCTTGAACAGTCTCCTGAATACAACTCGTCATACTCAATTCTAGAATACCTCAACCCTCAAACACTGCTGAAGTAAAGTAAACATAACAGTTAAAACAAAATTAAAGTAGTAAACAATATATTATGAATGACTAATTTCATGTATTCGTTTTTTCATTAGGTGTCATCATGTCAATGTCTTCCGGCATTGAATGCGATCCACAATTTATTGTTATTTCTTGGAATTACGGAAGCTTGAGTGAATTCTCATTCGTGAAAATCCATGAGCGTTCGTATTTGAATTGAAATTGATTTTCATCGTGATATCATATACATCTTTCATATGAGATCCTGCCAATTTCACCTGGTAGGTTTTCTGCTTCTATATCGTGGCTTATACTAAATTGACTCTGATAGCCTTTTCTAACATCAAATTGGCTAATTATACATTGGCGTCTCTTGAGTCAAACAGACATACATACAAAAATACATATAAATAAGATGAACCCAACTATCTGAAATACTCGGAAATACATACCTAATGTAACAATAAACAATACAATCTGGTTGGTTTATAAGGTAGTATGAAAATCAACACTTTGAAAAGTACTCCTGACTTTATAGCCGAGTTCATAACGTACTCAATAAAGATATAGAAGCAGCTATATTAGTTTCAATAAACATAAATATATAAATTATTCCAGATTTTTTGGGATTTTCTCACCTCGTTTCTATAAAATAAAAATATGAGTATCATTTCAATATACGTCTAGTAAGGACAAATCAGATGATTTGCCCCAAAGATGTCACTATAAAAGAGCCTAAAACAAAAATTCACCAGTATAATGATGAATATTTCACCTCCTCAATTAACCTACAGACCGTATTTAACAAATGAATATATAAATCAGTTGGAAACATACACACATATCATCATGAAATCATGGTAATATAAAATAATAGAATATTGAGTGAGGACGAATGATGAATTTTTACAAATGCCGAATGAATCTTTGATTTCATTCAATTACGGTGATCTCTTCTCATGATGGACTCCATGTTCATCTTGATCATGTTAAGATTGCTCTGGTTCAAATAATGTAATATGGCAGGCACATAGCAACTATATTCATCTGTTTAACAGTGTCATTTGCAACTATTGCATCTGTCAAGTTCATATAGAAGCCAAAGTAATAATTATTTGAAAAATGGCTAATCGTCGCCGATTGAATTGTTTTACGTGTCATTCAGCATTCAATATACAAAATATGGTACTACTTGAGGGGGAACCAGATGAAATGAAGCGAGAAATCGCTATTGAAAGGCGAGACCAAAGGGGACTTCCACATCTCGAATTTATGGATCTAACATGTTATTAAAAATATACTGCATCGAATGGTTCAAATTAGTTTTATTGATTATAATGTCGTTATGAAACAGGGTCAATAGAATGGGTCACAAGAATCTGCACATACTACTCTTGAGAAGTTATTAGCAAAGACCATTGATTTTTCATCCACTCTGTATATTTCACGGATTTGCAGAGTGGACATTCATCATAGGTTGTTCAAGTTGTAAGTCATATTGAGGATGCCAATAATAAGTACCTAATATGGATCCATGGATGTGACTTCATCAAAAATAAAACATCTTGTATATAATATATATGATTAGGAGATGCTCATATCACGAAATGGGGATGATATTTGTATACAACAGAATTCAAATTAAATTCCACCGCACACTTTTCAGAAAATCACTGAATTATTCGCTATGTTCCGACCAACCCTGTATATTGTTGGTACGTGCAGGAATCATTATAGTTTATAGTAGATTCGTATCGGTCATTCAAACAATCAATGCACAGTTGATTTGGTTTCGAAATTATGAAAGGTGTCTTCACAATGTCTATCTTAAATTCTTCAAAAGTAAACTTTATCACCCTATATAATCGTAACTGTTGATTTTAGAGCGTTGGTGCAATGGAGACATTTGATCAGCACCACGAGTTCTACAATATACAAAAAATTCGAGTAATTTCACCGAAAGCCAATTTCCCATTGATGCGGTGCGGGGTCCTTTGTTACATTTTAAATTCGAATGATTGTGATTCAAATAAGGTAAAGTCATTCATTCTTGTATATTCTCAGCAGCTTTGATGGTTACAATGTGAATTATTTTCAAAAATTGTTCGTCTAGTCATCTCAGGATTTGGAGGCAATGGAGGGCCATCTCCAGCACCCCTTGCAAGTTTATTTTGTTTGACAAACATCGATTTGGTATTTTTTCCAAGTCAACTCATGTCTAAACATGAAAGTTGTATAGAACTTCAATTTTCATTTTCGTGCCAGTGGCAAATACTTTATAAGGAGTATATTATTATGTATGTATGTAGTATAAGGAAGAAATTACTTTTCTCCATTGTGTCCATACCTTCGCTTGTCCATTAGGAATACTATTTAAAATGTTTTTAATTGCAACCTAGTTTTTCTTCAGGGTTTTCCTTTTGTTAGTTGCTGTTAAGCGACCTACATACATTCCAGTTCTTTGTGGAATATATTCCGTCGATAGATCTTTTTGTTTATTATTAATAGGAATCAATTTTGTTTACAATATTCTCCATTTGAAACAACGTTATAAAATCGACAAAATAACGAACATTTTAGTATGACTGACTTTTCTGAGTGATTTTTAGTGTCAATACGTCTACCAAAAAAATTATGTCGTCTTTGATTGGTTAAAACCTTTGGTAACATTGCTCAGTTAGGTCTCTGGGGAAGCTATTCATTTGCACCGTCCCTGGTGCTCAAGAATACAGGCTTCTCATTTTTGAACGTGGAAGTAGAAAAAAAGCGTTCTATGCTGCCGCCGTCAATGATCGCTGCCCTCAGGGGAAGATGACACCTTATTCATGTAATCTTGATTTTGCTAGTGTTAGCCTTCATAGGCAATGAGGTAAGTTGTGACCAAAAGGAATACTATTAATGAAGATTAGATTCTTCTTCACTATTTTGTGTCAAATAATCAATGAGGGCTGACATTTGCAGTCTCACCAGTTGGCGTTACCATAACGTCAGGGGTCAATGTCAAACATTCCAAAATTTGGCCTGTTTAATCGAAAATATTCGGGAAAAACTATGTAGAATATTCCAACAAATAGACCACAAGTTATGGAAAGACTTCAGCAGACTTACGTTTTTTTACTCTCAATGTGGAACTTTACGACCAATTCTTACATCAACGGAGAAGAAGATACCGTAGGAAAAGGCCAAATGAAACGAAAAGAAGAAGTATATTTATCAGTTCTACCAACTCTGACCTCACGTTTCCGTAGCGCGATCTGGTGGACAATAAATAGTGTTAGCACTCATTGGAACATTTTTTTTTTCTTTCAAATACGAATCTGTAATGATGAATTAATATGTTCCAATGTCAAAACATTCGATTGACTGAATGAATACATAAACAGATAAACAGTATATTGAATGAATTATTTACTTCTTTAAAGGAACACCAAGAATATTTTAAAAAATGACAGCGATTCTATTTCTCCAAACCGCATTTGTGACAAAAAATAATTCTTTAATATTCGCTGCTTCGTAAGTGCTCTCTAGCGGAATAATTGGTCTCTTAGATTTTTGGTTATGGATATTAGGTGTTTCTTAGAAATTTTCCGAGGGCTCGTCAGTAATTCGTTTTTCTAATTTTGGATGTTGTTTAGTTCCTGTTGATATTATAATTAGCTATCCTTGCTAAAAATATAAAATATAATAACCTCACATGCATAATCACTATACAGGATATTTCAAAGGATGTAGAGCTCGTGAAAAGGACTCATTTCACAAAAGCACCTAAATGAAAACTGCACAATATCGAGGATATTGATACTTTCAAATTTGAGGGAATGTGTATACTGCCCTGAGCGAGTGGTACAGAACATAGTCGAATGTGTATGTAGTATTAGTGGACCTGAGTATTATAAAAAATAACTATTTTTACAATACCACTATTAATGAAAGACTCGCTCATCTCATGGAGAAAATATTCAAGAATGACTCGAAACACAGAGAGGATTAGATGCTGTAAGAGTTGTATCACCATTTTTTCCATATTTTCTTTTATGCAGGCACATTTTTGTGAAATAACTCATTCTTTCAAATACATCCACCAGCATGATAATGGATTCAAAAATATCGCTAAAGTTTGCTCATCAATAACTTTGTTAATTCAAGTTCAATTTGATTATTATTTTCTATACAGCGTAGGTTAGTTTATATTTAATATGATGACAAGTGAGTACATTACTTGATATCCTCTTTAACAATTTCGTTAATTATATTATTTTGTGAATCGAGTTAATACTTTGGAACAATGAATCCTCAATTTATTGATTGATTGATGAAAAAATGAGCCATTATACACTATCGCGATCTCGATCGCGATGGTCCGAATTACATGTAGATATCTTCGTAATCTCCCGGTCTATTTGAAAGGGTTTTCTCTGCAAAAATAATGAAACCTTACCACTCCTTGAGATCCATAATGCAGATTCGAGAGTGTAAAACAGACACTGTTCTTTGGAAACACTTGTTCTATGTCCCTGAATACTGAAGTATGTGAGTCGTAGGCAGCAATATTGAAAACGATCGTCTGCAGTGGGTAGTTCGAGGTGTTCTGCGTAAACTGCTTTTCCAAAGTCAATCGCCCGTTCGGGGAAAACAAGTATTTCCGTCCAATCATCACTTGAACGTGAACCAGTACTTTGGTTTCACCAAATTCTATACCCATCCTCTTTTGATAACTAGAAGAAAAGGATCTTTCTGGAGTAGTGCAAAATATTTAAAGATCAATAAAAAAACTACGTTAGCATACATTAGCAACAATAAATTTCAAATCTCAAGTCATGTAATAATTATTTGTTCACATGTCCTCCCTAGGAACACCCGATGTTCTTCGGACATCATAGGAATTTCCTTTCGTGCGCTGCAAGAGATGAAGAAACGTAACAGGAGGTATTACCGAAAACATCATCTTTTCTGATATACGATGAGAAATACGAAGATTCAATTTACCCCTACTTGGTTTAAGGAGATTCCAGACAAAAATAGAATCGTCAACATTAAAAAAGGTAGATGATTGTTGAGATTTCTGCCAGGCAGAGATAACTATATTTTTGTTATTTCAAAAATTTTGATTAAACGTTTATTTGTCCAAAAAACAATATTCTAGTTGAATTGCTATTTTTTTTACTTTGCATGAATTTATTAGTGAACTAACAGGGTACTTACTACTCTCGTATTCCCTGGACTTGCTGGTTGAATATCTGAGGTGAACTTTGGTCTTGTACATTATACTGATTTGGTCCTCCCATACTAATAAATGTTTTCTTAGCATTCGAGATGGCTGTTACCCTACAATAAGGTGTTTCATCAGGTGTTTCTTATTTCGACGATTTGTTTATGAGTGAAAACTGAAAACTTTCAGACGAAGCAAATTATTGTAAAAACAGATTGTCTAAGTTGAATGATGTTTTTATTGAGAAATTGTTAAAACAAGACTGTTTTATCGCAAACAAAAACTTTGCGTGCTGAAAATTGTGAACAAAATATTTCATTTTACATATATTCCATTATTAAATTTCAAATTATTTCAAATGTTGGTTATAAAATCATCTACTCATAATAAAAAATTGTCCGAGCAGAAGCAAATGATTTTATGACAATTTCAAAAAAAGCATACATTATAATGAGGAATAAAATATATGTTCCATATAATAAAAAGCAACACTTTCTAACAACCCCGCGGTATACGAAAAAGAAAATGAAGTTAAAAGGGTATGATTTTGAAACAAATTATTAGCTATTTGACATTGTGTCATGAAATTCTCAATAAATTCATTAGTTTTCGAGATAACGAGTGGTGAAATCCATAGTCATCCTGTACAGGGTGTTCCAAATTGCTTGATTTTGGCAGTTTTTTCTTTTTTTAGAACAGCTAGAGAAAAACTGACCAAAGGGAATAGAGCTCGATTTTTGTGAAACGTCGATTGGTGAAGTCAGCATTTGGATATCTCTAACCGTTTTCGAGATATAGGCGAAAATTTACATTTGACCGACTTCGAAAATATGGCATAACATTTTTATTTTTGAATATATTTCTAAACAGAAAAAACTTTTTACGGGCACTTTTCAACATAGAATGAGATATATCTGCCAAAAAAAATATATCGCGTATCAATTGTTTGTTCTGGAAATAGAAAAAACTGACAAAATCAAGCAATTTGGGACATCTTGTACATGAATAATTGAAATTAAAAATGTCTATTGGTTGTCAGAAACATGAAAAAATTATCAATTGAATAGGTCGCTTGCACAGATGACCGATCCTCGAGATTAAACATTAAAACAACCTCACTTTTTTCATTTGTTTTGACACGGTTTCTTGTAGGGCACACAAACTGTTATGTATATGAATACAATATCAGATTCACCTAACAAAATCATGATATTATTTTGGGTCCAAACTCGGGTTCCAAGGAAAACGATCCAACTACTTCTGGTTTCTTATGACAAAATACAATATGTTTGCCATCCAACGACCTTTCAAATGACGTAATTCTCGAATGATCAATTGAAGTAGTTTTTCACAATTATATTGGCAGTTGAAACGTGTTTCTTGGAATATTTATCTATTCAAGCGTTTCATCACATTGTACTGGTGTACAATGCACAAAAAATGCAGCGAGAGAGGAAGGACTTTTTTTCTACGGTTATAACACAAAATTGCTCTTGTTTTACTTTGTTCGATACATCAATGAGGTACTTTGTATGTCATCAATTTTATTTCCTTATCTGATATCAGAATGACTCCATTGTGTTATTATTCCTCATCCCTCATGGAATGTCAAATTTCAAGCAATGACAGCGATGTCTAATAGATGAGCATTACTTGAGAGGAAATCAGATGGCTACAAGACGAAGAAATCAAAAGTGCCTCTGTTATTTTTAACAGCCGTAGAAAAATTTTAATAGTGTATAACTCGTACGAAATGGCTAATTTCCCACTCGAATGATTGCAACATTCGCCTACGGCTGATGCTGCAAACTTCATTTTCGTGGGAAATCCCTACCATTCCGTGCTAGTTGAACAATATACTATTTCTGGTAGGTAAATAATTGCATGTAGTCTTCTGCAATAGGAGCTGAACAAAGACTTGTGAAGTTTCTGAAATAAGGCAAGAAGCTTGAATTCATGCAGTCAAACGGAAGGACTTGTCTGACATGCTGACGAAATGTGGTCGTGTGTGTACATTTTCACTCTATTAGCTTCTTCAAAACGACCTAGATAACCTTTATCTGTGGTGCTTCGATCGTTCAGTCTTTAGAAGTATTTAAAAACAGAATTTGTAAAATTAATCCTAGGTTAATCCATCACCATTAATTTAGTTGATCCTTTTTTTCTTTTTCTCTTTTCTTTATTTTTTCCATGGGCATAGTTTGATTGTTCCACCTAATGGCTGTACTTAGGGAATAGTTTCAACAACAAATTGTATTGTTTGCAAATAGTTCTTCATCTTTATTATTGTTGATTTTCATTTGACGATGCAGTGTTTTTTGTCCTTATGCTATCTTAATCATAGAATAGGATAGAATAGAATATATTACATCCAAGTTATGGACACGTCGTACAAAGAAACAGGAGAGTTACAAACAAAAAAAGTACAAGAGAAAAAATCAATTAAAATTAAAATAGCACTAGTTGTCTTCCAAGAGTCATTGATCAACTCACTAAAGTGGTTGATATTGTAGACTCATTCCGACAGGAATATTTCTCAGCGTTTTTTTCAAACGATCTAACGGCAGGTCTCTGATATCTGTGGAAAGGAAATTGAAAAGATATATTCCTATGGATTTGCTTTTTTCTAGTCTCCTTCTCTGAGGTACAATGTATGCAATCAATTTCTATTGTAAAAGTAAATCCGTTTTTAAATAAATAAATAAATAAATAAATAAATAAATAAATAAATAAATAAAAGTGAGGTTGTTTCACCTCCAGGGTGGGTCATCTTACACATGTGCACGCGACCTATTTTTCAACCCATGATAGAAGGATGGTATGACCACTCTTCAATTGTTTTTTTTTTAAACATGTAGACCTTGATAGGAGGGATCACCAATTCCGATCACTATGTGTGAGTTTTTTGTAGCAGGACTTCAATAACTTAAAGAATAAACTACTTCAAGATCAAAATCCAATGGTAACATATACAGGGTGATTCATTACAAATTGGAAATATTTCAACTAACTCAAAATATGATGATCAAACCCAAATCCCCTAGATAAAATGCGTCTCCTGTCTGAGTTACAGGGTGTTTCATTTGAAAATCTACTAATCATTTGTGCCCAGTACTGCAAAACTATTCGACGTATTATTGTCATATTTGGTGTGGAGTGTAAGTACTGTAAACTCTACTAGATTATGTTAAATCAACATTTCGGGATTCTACCAGAGGAGCACGACAGGGGCAAGTGACTAGTTCATCCCTCCCAAATTCTATACCACTGACAGAATTGCAATACCATTACAATTTTTCGATTCTTCAACAGTTTTCTGCGTAGATATTATACTCTTTCTTCATAGCGATAAAGTCATTGATTTTCGAAATATTTCATGTTAAACCAAAGGCGGATCCAGCCCTCACGTCAAGGGGGGGTCACGGGCTTCAGAATCCCAATATTTATATGAATATATAGTGGGTGTTTCCTAAACATTGATAATATTTCGGAAGGTCTTGCCGGAGCTATTTTCATAAAAAAGTTCCTATAAATATTTGTCGAAAAACGCTTCCTAAGGGTGCTCCACCATCAAAATAGGGCAATCTGAAACGATTTCTCCTAACGATTTTCAAAACAGTTTATCCAAAAAAATATGAAATTTAGTACATCCTGATATTGAATCAGAATTTAAACTCAGAATTGTAAACTTTCGATGGCATCATTCTGGAGTGGTTGACTCTTTTTTCTGTTTTTTTTATATTCTGATAAAATATTATACTTGAAGGTGTTTTACGTGAAAAGGTATGTCCAGTTCATATCAATAGGGCTATAGTAGTTTTCGAGAAAATCACAATTTTCTGCTTCAATGGATGAACACCCTGAAGACGGGTTTTCCCAAATATTTTGGAAACCGCTTCCACTGAAATATTGAAATTTGGTACACTGGATGAACTTTCAACGCCAGATAAGATTCTGCGCTAAGAATTCCAGAATTTTTTTCAGAGATGTATCATACTATAGTTATTGCGGATCAAAACAACCCCATTTTCTGAGGACGATTTATTTTAAACATTTTGCTATTTGATTCAATAGATTCAGGAATGTAGTAATGGCTAATTTCTTCCGATTCCAAATTCCAATTCATCACACCCATACCCATTATCTCCTTACAAAGCCATCATAAACTGGGGTTCTAACCTAACCCCTTACACTTTTGATGAGAATTTCGAAAATTTAAACTCAGAATCTAATTTGGCGTAAAAAGTATGCTGTGTACCAAATTTCAAATTTTCAGTGTGAGCGGTTTGTAGAATATTGTGAAAACCCCGTGATCGAGGTGCCGACATGGTGGAATTATAGTATGGTGTGCTACGACGAATCTTCGTATATGTCACAATATAGCTCACAATAATTATCACTCCCCCGAGTCGCCGTTATCATTTTGGTGCGAATATAGTCTCGCAATGACGTTATGCGCAGAGAAGACGAATCCAAGATACCTGAGTAGCACACCATATTATTTTTCCACCATGGGTGCCGATACTGCCGATGCATCATTGTAGAAAATAGCGATTTTTTCATATTCTGAGATGAGAATGTGGAAAAAATTCAATAAAAAATTGTTTTCACCCTTAACCCATCCAGTGCGTTATGACCCTGAATAAGATTTTTAAATTCTGAGCCCCACTTCTGATTTAGCATTAGCATCATGCGATGTACCTAATTTTACGATTTTTTAATTAACGGTTTCGGAAATATTGAGGAAAAACCGTCTTCAGGGTTTACCTATTATTTGAAGGGCCTCCATAGAACGGTGAATCTGAATCAATGAATCATTGAAAGCAGAGGCAGCAAGCAAAAAAGTTCAAAAGAGTTAAATTGGGTAAAACCCCCAAAAATGTATCACCTTTTAGTTAATCAAAATTGCCTAGTAGCCCGAAATATTGAGTTTTTCAAGTGTAATAGTTATATCAAATTCCAATCCATTATTTTGAAAACTATAGGAGAAAACTTGGAAAGCATTGATAAAATCTCGAACTTTGACTCCCTGTATATGGGAAACGAAGCTCCCACGCATAAGTATAATCATGTTCAAAAGAACTTTTCATCTTGAAAATATGTGATCTTCAGGTTTTTTTAAGTCCTGCTACAAAAAACCGACTCACCCTGTATATCTGACAGTGACCGATAGCTCTAACATCCACATTTTCGTTTTCGTGGTTTTCTCAATTATCGAAAAAGTAAATAAATATATGCAAGATCAGTTCAACAGTGGCATCACCGGAGTTTGTTTTGCAAAGCCTTAAGCTCTACAATGTTATCTAATGAAGAAGCTGATCCACCATATGCAATATCCAAGTTGGTTCAGCGAAAATTGATTTATAAAAAATGATAAACCTGTCCGATACTAACACACCTATAGTTGGTTAGAATAAAAAATTACTTTGCTTCTACCAGATGGGGCCATCCAACAAATACAGTCGTCCCTAAAAGGTCTACAGGTATTGCTTCCCCAAGGAATTTCTGATCTGGTATCAAAGTTATTATCATGTTTTCACTTCTACTTGGGTGTTCGAAAACTTTGATTTTAGCAATTTTTAGTTCTGCCTGAAAAAAAAAATTATGAAAATTCCCTTAAAATTGTGTGAAAATAATACATATGAATGAAACTTCAAAATGTGCCAAGGAGAAAAGTCGTGTGAAAACCGATTTTTGTTAGGCTACATTATTTATTCTCGGTTCAGATCGTGAGATCGTGACAGGCACCTTCCTAGCAATGAAGCAACAAGCAACATTGACAGAAACAAGTATAAAATAGTAAAATCCGATAGGGAATGAACTACGAATATATCGAGAATTTATGGACAGCTAACGTATTTTTGTACAACAAGGAATTCATTAGATGAAATTCACGTATCGGGTGTATGGCTGTTCTCAATATCAATATAAAATGAGATAATGTCAGATTGAGATGATCAATAACATCATTTTTTGATGTCCCCTGTTATAAACATATACGTCAATTGTTTCTTGGGAATAATAAAGATGATGATGATGATAGTGATTTTCTTTCAATCTGAATTAACTGAAATATTTCACTTGAACTGAACTGAATCAGTTAATATGCGTTCTTTCAAATGATGTTCATGACGTTCATTGCATGTCAACTAATTCAGTCCAGTTCAAGTAAAATGAATCAGTTCGTTCAGAAAGAAAGAATATCACTAATAAACTCGAATAGATCACAGAGAAAGAGGGATAATCTCACTTCATTTAGATCGTGTTAAGTCAATGATCCAAACATTCCTGACCGCACTGTTAAAACAAATTTTTGTGTCAGTGTCAGGTAATGGTCTTGTATCTGGAAAATCATTAAATTATGATGACGATGATGAAAAATATGTCAACATAGTATTATATAATATAGTATTTATAGGACACCAGCACACCAATTCAATAATTCTCAGACTACGTTCATTGCGTTTCAAAACCCTAACAAATAGACCAGTCACCTGAATAGACAAAAGGCTGACTAAAACAAGTAGCATAACCACAATTTAATCCTCTAAGAACCAGGTATGTCTCTCCACTAAAATTTGGTATCCATATCGAATCTGGAAACAGCCGTCTCTGTCACTGAATAGCTAGCAATTTGAAGAGCCGCTCCCATGCATTATTGAATTTGCGCTTTCGAAGTACCCACCTGTTGTTAGGTTAGATATTTGTTAATTTCATTTCATTACCTAAATAATTCGAGATCCACGAGTACCAAAAGACGAATTCTAACAATAGAAATCCAAGACACCGACGCATAGAGTTTCATGTCTTGATTCATTTCATGAACTATTGTGGTAATGACTTTCAGTTACTCTCTTTTGTAACCATTGCTTTCCACTTTGAGTATTTGGCTTTTTCCTAGTTCATGTTGTTGGATATTCATGTCCAAGTGTTGAAATCATGATAAGATAGGCAGCCTGGTGCGCGTGGCATGAACTTATGCAGTAACCAAAACGGGGTAACAAGCATCAATGGTGCCGACAGTAAGTACGACTGCCTTCTACTATGACGCAACCCTATTCATCAGTGCAGTGACATAGCCTTTCTATGGTTAGACGTTTGTCTATAATCCAAGGTTGGACGAGAACATCAGTACAATAATATCCACCACTAACATGGCAAATCTTCAAAGCTGACATGACTATTACACTCAAGTAGGTTCAATCACCATCGACTAAACTCAGCCTAACCCAATTATACGTTTATACTGATGTTTATACAATTTTACTTAACGATTTTTTTTATTTGGAACTCAAATTCTGATGATTTCACTGTATCTAATCATAATGTGTTACGACCCAGTCTACAAAAAAACAAGAACAAACCGGTATGTAGGCGTCAAACACTTGCAACTGGTGTTCGTTCATAAAAATCGTTACATGTAAGAACCTTTATAGAAGAAGAGTTATAAGATATAGATTCACTTCATGAATTCAAATTAATATCATTCATTCATTTAGTTAAATATTGTCAAAAGAAATTCGCGAAACATCTACTACTGTGATATTGACATCTCATCTCATTTTTAGAGTTTTCTCGAACAATTACTATAGTTTTCCATTGGGTACCTAACAGCTGAGTCAATTAAGAATCATTTTCAGTTGAACTTAGATTTCTTCTTGGGTGTGAGTCTTATTTTACTGTCTTCTTTATTTTGTCAAATATATTTATATATTCACCATGTTCCCTGCTATGAACAAATGTTGTTTTTTGGGATTAATAAAGTTGAGTGATTGATGAAAAAAATGTTCTGCCTGGCATTAGCCAGCGAAGTAGATATATTTCACCCAGTATCTACCATTGTTTATTTCATTGAACATGAACATGAAAATCACTTCAAACTTTTCCCTCACTGTTATTCTTTATATTATAAAGTTGTACCGGGACATCAATAATGATTGAGTGCCACGTGACCATTTTTGATGTACAAATGTATTCTTGGTTGCATAGTAATCTGTCACGTGGTTTCTAATCATCTTCCAGATTTGCATATGCCTGTGCAAGCTTTGATGCAGATTATGAACATATACGAATTATTATCAACAGGTTTCCTTCAGCAGACTCACTTTGACATATCGAGGGCTAACATGTTCAGTCTTACCAGTTGACATTATTAATAGGGGTGGTCGAAAGTCCCCAAATTTTCCACGATAACCGTCAAGGCCGATTCACAGGAGAATGCATAAAGACCAGTACTCTTCACTAATTGTCGGAACCTCTGATGTTCGTTACCATGTTTTGTTTTGTGCTCAATCATAATTTCATGCCTCGCGCACCATGCCTATTTTATCATGATTTCTCTCTGATTATTTAGGAAATGAAATGGAAACAACATTGAACATCTAACCCAACGCCAGCTTCACACTTCGAAGGCGCAAATTCATTACTGCATGGGAGATTTTCAGCTATTCAAATTTTTACTGGAAAGACATAATTGTTGTCCGGATTTTCCAGAAATTCGCAGTATCAGCGGTATGTCCTATGTAAATAAATTCAAAAACTCAAAGCCAGGTTGAGATTGGGCTTTTTATTTCCAACGTGGAACTTAACGTGCAATTTTTACATTAACAGAAAAGATATTCGAAAGTGGGAGCCAAATGAAACAAAACGAAAGAATAAGTATGCCATGCATACTTCTGGACTTCACGTCTCAGTAACAGGAAACATGTTACCTCTCATTACACAATAACTAATGTTTGCACATTATGGCGATATTCGTTTCTGGACTCACTAAACGGGAAATAATCAATTAAAAGCCAGTAGAAATATCAAATATAAGATGATTCATGGATCATATTTGGTTTCAATTCAATATTTCTAGCATACCTTGTATTTCAGATGTTTCATTGTGGGGAATCCGGGGTAATAGACATTCATTTTAACACCGGGATATGCCCCCTTTACCAATTTCTCTTCGGGCAGAACGATTTCGTTATATAACATCGACTTCACATCGGTGTGGTTGTGGGGAATATCTGAAAAATATTCAGGAGCAGGATAAGGTCCTTTGTCTCTTGGGGTGAACATGTATATTAGCATTGGGCCGTGTCTATTTCTCTCCTTTTCCTCAGTGGTCATTTTGTCATTGCAATAGCCCATGGCTTCGAGAAGAAGATTCTGAAAATATTGAGAAATTCGATTTTTAGAGGTGTACTCATAATAAAACGGAACCTATGACAGGAGCGCAAATTATCATATTTGACAATAGATAATGAATAATAGTATATTTTGTAACAAGTGTTATAAACGTACTTTTAGTAACGAGTATTTTAAGCACGAGCAGAGCAGAGCGGAGCGAGTGTTTAATAAACGAGTGTCTAGAAGAGTTTATAAACGCGTTACATTCTATGCTTTTTCTACGAACTCCTAAAATTACATAAACATACCTGCTATACCTGCTAACCTACAAAATAATTCGAAAGGAATGGGAATTGAGAACATAATACATGCAACTGCATGCAACCAGCGAGACACGTATGAGTGATATTGGTTGTAGATGTGTGCAATCCATTGCTTACTAACCTTTGTTTCACGTTTATTGTCATGCTTAGCGCAGAATAAATAAATTGTTGCTAATTCAATCATTCAAATAGCCTCAAAGTGGCGTACTTGATCTTTTTCTCAATTTTCATTCAATTTTCAAAATGAAATTTCTCGTTAATTCGAAAAAATCAGAAAAAATCTGATATCATGGGAATATTCGTTAGGTTGTAATGTATTGATGTGCTGAAAATATGTTTGTACTCATTTCAAAAACACCCCGTGTACACAGGGTGTTGAGAAAATCGACCTTTAATGCTTCACAGGTGATGGCCCTTTGGTTTTTAGAGATACAGTCATGAAATACATTTTTTTTAATATCTCAAAAACGGCTGAATTGTTCGTAATCTATTGACTGCAGGGGGTTGTAACTTTTTCTGTTTCTCCTCTATACGCCACTGATGACAATTTTTAATTACTTCAAATTCTCCGAATTCACTGTTGAATTTTGTTGAAGAAACGGATAACCTTCAACAGAGCTATAATTAACAGTTTAAGAGATTTTTGATCCAGAATGGAAGCCTTCATAGTGATTTTTCATAATTTTCGATAGTAGAAAATAACAATGTTTGATTTTTTCCTATCCGCATTCAAAAATTATTTATTTTCATAAGAAGTATCTAATCAACTCACCACACAAAAAATATTTTTTTCTCTGACGGGAAAAAAGTTTGAAATGTCATATCTGTTGACAGGTTATAAAATGTCACTTTTCATAAATTACTTTCTTCCCATTACTAAACAACTATTAAATTCGAAATTTTCGAAAATCAAATCACAGAATGAGACTGACAGATATTTGATTACTTCAAAAGAATGATGAAGATGCCTGAAAGGCAGGTGTCATTCCTGTTAAAAACCTCAAATTTAACGTCGATAATTTTCTGATTTTAATATAATGTAATTTCTTCTCAATATTGATACGTCCTTTTTCCTGGCACAGAAAAAATAGTGCATTAAACACGGGAAAATATTAGATTTTAGCTCACGGTTTTTGTCAACACAACCTGGAGCTAAAATCTACTACTTTTTACACTTGTATAATAAATAACTATCGTTATAAATAGCTTTGAAAATGAAGGAGAATGCCTATGCAAGCTTCTATTTTGTATCAAATATCACGAGGTTAGGATCTTTCTATCAACATCGAACGGAGAACTCGAGACGTGAAGCCATGGTAGTAAATGCTACCACTACCTATATTGCAACACTGAATGAAATATTTGAATAAATTTTCATCATTATTATGTTACATATCAGGATCATTTCGAAAAGTACAGTGTTTTTAGATAATAATATCATGATTGTTCCCAACATGTGTAGTGGTACAATTCATATTATGTAATTACCTCATCAATGAAGGGAACCAGAACAACAGCTTCCCATTCTTGTTTCTTTCCATTCAGATCTGTTTGAAAGTCTTCTGGGTAATACTTCTTTATCAAAGAGTTTTCGTCAACCATCAAACTGTGAAAACAGCTAGGCAAAAGATTCTTACTGGCAGTTGGCAATACAGCCAGAAGCTGAAAGAAAATTAACGTTCACCTTATCATCAATGTCAATGAATATTTTTTTGGATTAATTACTTGTTCATAAGGTAAAAATGGTTTTCCTATGTCAAATTCCAACGTCAGATCTGAAAATCCTTTTATGTCTGAAATGTATGGTGCATAATGATGTGGGTAATACCAGGACCAAGAACAGCAACCATTATAATAGTAATTCAAATTCCATTGGATAGCTCTGACGTAACCCTCCGCTTGGCTCCGCATAACCTCACTGAAAATGTGACAAAATCGTACAGGGTCTCTATAAATGATCGTTACATCGTAGTGGCTGTTGACATTTTTTTCCATTTGCCGCTTTCTACTAATGCTGTCCCAAAAAGGGAGGAAGTGATCATATACAGGAGGGTTTGAAAAATAATGAAACAAATCAAAAATATTTATTAAAGAAGTAATAAATAACCGTTGATTTCATTAACCTACATCAAATGTTCAAAATGTTCTCCGTTGTTCTCCAAGCATTTCAAAACTCTTCGCCGTTTGTTGTTGAAAATGTTCCTCAGCATTTCCGGGCCAATATTTTGGCAGCAATGTGTTATTGAGGCTTGCAGCTCTCCAAGGTTATTATTGTGTCTCTTGAATACTTCGTCTTTCAAATATCCAAGAAGGCAGAAATCCAAAGGCGTCAACTCTGGAGAACGTGTTGGAAAAGAAGGATTAACTCCTCGATTTATCACACGGTTGTCATAAAATTCTTGTAAATATTCTAAATTTGCACGTGTGGTGTGGGCAGTGGCCCCATCTTGCTGAAAATAGCCAACTCGAATTTCTTCATCATCAAGTTGATTGATGAATGGTTCTAACATCACTTGTCAGTACCTTTCACCATTGATAGTGCCATCGAAGAAAATCGGTCCATATATTCGCCTACGAGAAACTGCTAACCACACCCCAATTTTTTGAGAATGTAGTGGAGTTTCAATGAAATTGTGGGGATTCTCAGATCTCCAAAACCTAAAATTTTGTGAGTTCACGTATCCCGACAAATGAAACCAAGCCTCATCGATGAAAAATGTTAGGTCCAATAGCTGGTCATCGTTGAGATTATTTTGGAACCATTGGCAGTACTCCAGACGACGTGGGATATCTATTGGCAGAAGTTGCTGTAGTACACTGGTCTTGTAAGGGTGCATATGCAATCTTTTCTTGAGCACTTTATGGCATGTACTTAGTGGGATTTTGCTCAACACGCGCCCTTAGATTTTCGACAACTTCTTCCGATATTTGGGGCCTTCCTGTTGATTTCTTTTTATTAACGTTTCCAGTTTGGATGAATCAGGCGGCAAATGGAGACAATATTTCAACGGCTACTACGATGTTACGATCATTTATAGAAACCCTGTATTATTGCTGTTCAAGATAAACTACAAAATTTACTCACGGTGTTACTTTTGCATACTCCAATTTATTCATATAATACTCCTTTTTGTAATTACTAAATGCAATATCGTCTTCAGATTGACTTTCGTCTGTTTCTCCATCATCATCTGACTCGGCGAACTATAAAATATAGGTGTAAAAAAGAGTATCAACAAAACACTTTACTTACTTCATCAGTTGTTCTTATGAGCGCTGCTAAACCACTGTCTTTTGGGGATTCATCTTCAAGGGCTATCAAGTCGATGTTTCCTGATGAATCGTCTGTCCATTCTTCCAACTTTTTCGTCTGAGAAATGAAATAAAGTTTGAGGTCTTCTTCAGAGAGCTCTCAGCACTCTTAGTCACTCATGCATAAATAGCACTAACATCATCCAATCGCTACATGTTCTCTGAAGATGACTGCATTTTAGTTACACAATTATGAGTCTCTGAGTGAATGTGGATTGCTTACTCGGAGTAACTAGTTGAAAAGAGATATTCAATAGGTGAGTGGACAATTTTTTTTCATTTCCTAAATAGAATCATCACTCAAATACCATTCAATTTCATGTTTTTTTTTTTAGAATTTTTCGGTCGATTTTGAGGTGCTAAAATCATCAATAATGCCACGGCAATTTTCAAAAGTCTAGTCACGATTTCGTAAGTAGGGGCTGACCATAGCACAGTTGCCACATGTTGAAACACGATTGGGAGCTTCAGAAATATTATTCGATAATTCATTAATGCTCAATTATGTATTGGAAATATTCCTAATAATCAATACAAAATCAATGGCCTCAAAATGTTCCCTCAAGTGTTGTGGCTTATTGCTAATAATACGTGTGTGTAAATAATAATTATTATATTAATTCACACTAGATGACATTTGAACCGGTAAACGTGACAACACGGCGCACGAATTGTGGGCGGTGTCTTGTCAGTTCTCAGCATTCATCACATTGTTACCAAGTCTTCAACATTTACATATTTTGTTATGGAGTATAAAGATATTTGGACATGCTGGTTGCTCGAAAGAGTCAAGAATGAACTATAATATCATAAACTTCTTCCTATTATGTTTTATCTCGTGATTTATTCAACGACAGGACTCTGATATCTTTTTGATAACTTTATTATCATTGACAACGTTGCTTCATGAGTGGGAATGGAAGATTATCTGACCAATAAAAAAACAGCATAAAACTGACGTCACCATTTATTCGATGAATTGCCAAATGGAGGCCATGATGGTACGTTCGAGATGAGCTCCGAAATTGAACAATTTTGGAACATCGCATAAACACATTATTTACATAAAAAAAGCATGAGAAGTGTTGCAAAATAGTTATTTATGTATTAAGGGAATTATGAGGGCCTTAATTACCGATGCCAGAGGTTATTAAGGCTCTATAATTCCCGTGGTACATAGATTATTTAATTTTTGACCGATTTTCATAACAATATGTCCATATTTAGAACGCAATAAATGTTTAAATCCATAACCTTTCTGGTATATTTGAATTAGGTAGCGTTGATTGTAGCATTGTTGGTTGTTGCTAGGTTGTCGCTATGTTACATGTTTATTTTTTTTAAGCGGCGGAAGTAATTTTCAGGGAACATTTGAAAATTGTACATTTATTATTTGTAATGACGTGAATAAGGAAAATATGTCTTAGTTTTCATCACATATAAACGTTTATAAGCATTTCTTGTATCATTTTCACCTGTAAAAGGTAAGAGGGAGTTTTTGAACCTTAATATCCCAAGGGAGTTATGACCCTCATTATAGATATCGTAACTATGACGATATAAGCTTATAATGTCACTGTCAGAAATAAATTAATTTAGGTCCCTCATGACACAGTAATTGAATGCCACTAATTCATTATCTGTCCACTCGCCCATATACTTAGTTCCTCTGTGGAAAAGACATCACATTTGTAAGAACGATTGCCAAATCGACAATTCAAGAGCACTATTCGAATAAAACATCCAGTATTCCATTTTTCTAAACGGTAGAGCTCTTTATTCTGATATATACTTTATTGAGGTTATCTTTCGTCAGTTTTTGAAAAATAAAGATTTTTTGTTATAGATCTGAGGCAGGTGTTGAACGCCAGACGATTATGCTGCGATTTCTGGCGTTCTACAGCTGCCTTAGAATCCATATTTTTCAAAAACTGACCAAGATAACCCCAATAAAGTATATATATTTGAAATCAGAAGAGAGAGCTATACCATTCAGAATGATAGGGTATTCCATTTAAAGAATACCAGTTCATGTGAAATGTTTAGGTTAACGATGCTTTTTTGCATTTTCTAGTTTTAGATTTTCAAATAGCCTGAATCAAAACTCATAGAATGGCTCCCGTTCGTTTTGGTACCTCACTAAAGCAGTCGGAAGAAATTTTACTAATAGTTCATTCCAACCACTCTCCAAAGACGACGGCACATAAGCAACAACATCGCAAGAGAAAGCGAACATTTTTGCAGATATGTTCGCAGCAAACTCTACATTGGATTCCCAGGGAAGGGTGCCGCCAGACATTTCACCCGTCGAAAGTCGAATGCCCGGAATTGTCTTTCGTCAACGCACTATAAGACGCATTCTGCTCGGTCTCAAAACGAATAAGAATAAGAAAAGTGTGCACCAGAATTGACACCGATTCTCTGCGAGCTATTTACCATATCCTACAAGTCGGGTATTTTTCCATCTTGCTGGAAAATAGCTAGAGTCCAACCAATCACCAAAATAGGAAACAAGAGCCTGCCCAACAACTATAGGCCAATTGCCCTGTTATCGGTCATCTCCAAAGTGATGGAGAAAGCCATCAACATTGAGCTCATCAAATATCTGGAAAGCTCAGGAATAATCAATGATAGACAATATGGCTTTCGCCACCGAAGGTCAACCGGAGATTTACGTGCCTACGTCACCCATATATGTTAAACTTCATTAGAAAAACATAGGGAATCTCTTGCTGTAGCGCTAGTATTTCGAAGGCATTCGACCGTGTTTGGCACCAAGGACTGCTCCACAAAGTACCATCATACAGCTTACCACCTCAGCTATGCCATCTTTTATCGAGTTTTATTCCAGACAGATCGTTCCATGTTGTGGTGGACGGAGTATCGTCTGATACCATTGCCATCAATTCCGGCATCCCGCAAGGATCAATCTTGGCACCAACATTGTTTCTACTTCATATTAACGATCTATTGGGAGCAACCACTTGCAATGTATACATACTGTGTTATCTTCTCGAATTCCCATTTCTTCCCAGGAAACTAAAAACTTGCGACGAAGGCAGGCCAACGCTGTCAATGAAGATCTTGTGGAAATTACAGCCTGGGGGACCTACAACCTAGTTGAATTCAACGCCACCAAAACGCAAGCCTGTATTTTCTCTTGAAAGGTGGAACTCAGTAAAGAAAATCAAGTTCAATTCATTGCAAAAGCTGCTTCATAAAAACTCGGTTTCTTGTTCCGTGCGAAAATCGACTTTACACCCCAACAGCTTCCCATCTACAAAGCACAGATCCGGTCAGTTTTATAATACTGTTCTCATGTATGGGGTTCAGCACCGAAACATACGCTGATGCTATCAGATTCCATCCAGAGAAGAGCCATTCGCCTGGTGGGTGATGCCACACTCATTAACTCTTTGACCCCTTTCACTTTTTTATATATACTTCCGCGGGAAATGTTCCTAAGTAATATCTGCTATAATTCCATCACTATAGCAATACCAGTCAGACGAGCTCGACAGGCCCAGTCAGCACACCCCTTCGTCGTTAATCTTGAAAAATGTCAAACAACACTCTACCAAAACTCGTTCGTCTATTGAACGGAGAAGCTTTGGAATTCTTTGCCAATGGAAGTATTCGCAAAAACTTATAAACTCCAAAGGTTCAAAAATACAACACCTACCTCATCTTCCTGTCCTCCCCAGGTACGAGCGATATTCCAAGAAAAAAATATAAAATTCGAAGTTTCCATATTTATGCTCAATGGATGTGACGGCGCAATATCGAAGCTTCTTTCTCTGTCACACTTCCACCGCGGTCCGAATCGCACTCAAATCGCTTTGAGCGCACTATGATTGGTCCGATTAACGCTTAGAACGCTTGTAAATATTCACCGTGTCATTATGACGTCATAGATTACGTCATTCCTTGCGCTCAAAGTGCTTACAGTTCAGAGGTGGAGCGGTCTGAGCGCTGCTGTCAACTGTCACTACTGTCACTTGAAACTTAAAAAGTAAAGATGGGAAAAAATTCTTGATATAAGTACTGTTGAATAGAAAACAGAGACAACTACAAGGTATTAAAATCAATTAATCTCTATATGTATGAAATTGAACAAAGGCGTTATATTATATAACTGCTGCATCAGCTTCCTCATCATCAGTACTTGACGAAGAAATATTATTTTGATAACGGTATCGTCATCACTGTGTCAATAATGAGAGAAATATTTACCAAATTTTCTCCATTTTTGCATGAACTATGATTTTTGTTGGTTAAGGAATACATTTTCATGTGAGATGTGAGTTTATGTGACGGATATCTGAATCTTTTATTGGAGAGTGAAGTGTTCTTTTACAAACTTGTACTTTGAGATTACACCAGTTCAGTTTATCATCCAATACAACTACAACACTATAAGCCGAGTAACATCTTAACCATGAACAACTTGATGGTTTGTTGATATTGTAAGATCAGAGCAAATAACAACCGTGAGTGCGTGCAATTATACTACTCTTTTACTGCACTTATAACTTTCAAATGAGTTTGATTCACTTACTGACACTTTTGAGTGTGCATTGTACTTTCTTCCAGTTTTTGCTTCCATATATAACATATCGTCTCTAATTTCTGCGAAGTTTTCTACGTCCAGAGCGCTAAGTTTTTCCATGAATTTTTCGAATCTTGCTAAATTAAGCTTACCAGCTTCATTGATGTAGCCTAAAAATAAGAATTCCAGTCGATTATTACAAATAAACTAGTATTCTTTTATTACTTACCATCTAAAGTAGGTAATATATCCATGTAAGCTTTGTACAAAATAGGTAAGGCCCCATTTGTTATATGTAAATTTGGAAGGTGAGGAATGAAATCATTTCCTACCAAAAAACCCATTAAAACCTAAAAAGGACACATGTTTTGATTCCATCATATTTCAGAGGTAGTTATGGAAAGATGTTAGTTGAAAGTTATTAAATAAGAGTCCCAATTCAAAATAAAAATCTCTCTAATTTGTCAATTTCGTGAAGCTGATTTAACATTCCTCCAAAGTTGATATAACTAATACCATTAGAAACAATAAGATTATTCAAGATGCTGTCGAAATGAATTAAAAATGGCTGCTGGATTACATACAGAGTTAGAGTTCATTGTTATTGTTATCTTTTGTCTAGATTTATTTTGGTGATTTGCATAATTGTGAAGCTCTTCGTGAAGCATAAAGGTAGATATGTTCACAGAATTTGGTGGTTACATTATTTAGAGGGATTAAAGAGTCTAAAGAGTGTTTTTCACTTTTTCAGGATGTTTTTCTGTTGTGTTGTTGGATGTGTATTGTGTAAGTCGAAAATCTGAGTTTTTTCAGATTTCCATGTAAATTGAATGAACATAAACCATAACAAGTAAGTAGGTACTGGTAAGTAGCTATGTTCAAACAGAATTTTCTTGTAACATCAATTCGGATTTTTTATGTTGATAACCTTGACTGCAAAATCTCAAAAAACCTGTGAACGAAAATCAAGAGCAAAATAAACTTACCTATGGTACAATGCTATTTTTATTTCTATACAATAAACTATCTCTTTATCCTGGAATGTATAGGTATAAGATGAGCAGTAAATTATTCAGTATTGATTGATCGATTTATGTATTGTAATTTTTTTAACATACATAACATATTTTTTTATATTATAAACATATAAGTTGAATCATAACAATTAGATGATCAAACATGTCATTTTGTATATGTGCATGATGAATAAAATCCATACCTTCATTGGAGGTAGATTCTTTTTTTTTTTAATGTTTAACCTGAGAAACAAACAAGTGTTGAGATCCAAGAAATTATAATAACGTAAACTTCAAAATGGATGTTGAAAATGTATAATCATTACCTATTATTGATTTTCTTTGCTACACATATTTATAGAAAACCAGCGCCAAAATACTTGTGAGCACTTATTGAAGTTTTGTATGCTTGCATCTCTTTGTTAGTATAGAAGCTATTTACTTTGGGAAATAGGTACTTCCACATCCGTCGATAGATCGTCCATTTCCAATGTGTATGGATAAATGTCTATTGCATTTAGTTTAGCTATATACTGCTGGACAGTATCTATACCGAAGCTTTACATTGTCACCAAATGATCTTTCCTTGCAGAAGCCAAATATAATTCACTAAATTACTACAATACACCAATACACTTCACCGAGAGCTGGTGAACACATGAAATATGGATCAAACTAATACTTTTCTCGGCGTGTATGTACTCCAGCGGCCATTTTAAAAGGGACATGGTCACGTCTTCTAGATAACCTTATAAATTATAATTTCTCATACATACCCAATCATCAATGATTTTTTCGAAATCATAGCTAAAGCCTCTCAATTTATCCTTCAAGGAGGCGAATTCCAGTTCCAGATATTCCCTCATAAGAGATAAATGTAACAAAAAAAATGTTATCTCTTCGGGAACAGATAGTCTTTTGTTATTACTATTAGATTTTTTGCCAAACTTGACCTAGGAAACGATATTAATAATTATTAATTGATGTAATAAGTCCAAGCAAGTTGAATAGTTTTATAAGGTGACGCAAAAGTAATCACACGACTTCCTATTGCTACTACTTTTCTGCAAATGAATAGAAGGACATTTGAATTTCCTCTGATAAGTCGATGATGATTCCAAGTGGTCACCGCTAGGCTAGAGGAAAAATACCATAGGAATAGGAATTGAATAGAATAAAAAAAATTTAAGTCGTGTTACAGTTGAGTACATTATCTAAACACAAGTCAGATGAGCAAGATTTGAAAGAATATAAGATGATCCTTTTATTACAAAATTAAAAACTTGAAGGTGCTAAGCAATATAAAATATTAATTTCATTGGTACAATGAAGCTGTGAAGCAAGTCTCACAAAATAAAATTCTATCCCATTATTCATTCCTATGGTATTGGAAACGAAATACGACATACATTCATTATCCAATATACTGAAGGTTCGATACAGAATAAGCAACCATTTTACACAGAAGTCAAGAATAATTCATTGAAAGAGTAAAAACTGTTCTCTCAGAAACGTTCTGAGTAATCATTTGAAATCTTCAGAACATGTGATAATGCATTAGATAAACTCAATTGCAATGAGTCATGATGAGATCTAGGTGTCCTCAAAAGAATTCGTAAAGCCTTTTGTTGCCGTCGAAAGACAACCGTAGCTGATGGTACATTTCACCATAATAATATTCCTTAATTTGAATGAAATAAATTAAATCAGAATAAACTGTTTTGAGAGTTCCCTATGACATATTAGAACTAGATAGTGCTTAGTTCAATTGTCTAATATGATGGAATCAATTCAATTTATCATCCTTTGTAAACCTCAATAGCTTCACATTGTTATCTTCCTGCAAAGTAATGTTTTGATTCAACTACATGTGTAGAGTTATATCTTTATCAAGTTTGAGTCTATTTCCATTGAACCAATGGAGTATTTTCTTGTATGGCGTTTCAATCATGGGTAAGTGAACTATAGTTTTAGTCTGTATAATTTGACGAAGTGTCATCCGAGTAAAGTGCACATTTATTATGTGGTTCCATGAATTTACTCAAATCATTCATATAATTGATATAAAGGGTGGGCCATCTATTGGTCCGATTTTGAGTAGATCATTAAATAAACAAAAGCTGATTTTTTTGCAACGAATTTCGCTTTATTTGCTACAGTGTTTCTTCCGATTAAGTATGGAAAATGATTTCATTGAAATGTTGGCCACGGCTGGCTCGGCAGTAGACTTGTTGACTTCTGCGCCGAGTCGATGTTCTGGGGTTTTGACGAACACTTTCGGTCACAGCAGCGATTGCTTCTGCTGTACGCACCGGACGTGTATGCGGCACACGTCTGGCATCGACCAGCATCCCAGTTTCACGAACTTTATGCACCAACTTTCGAATTGCACGCGCGGTAGGCGCTGCATTTCTTCCAAATTTTGTACGCAATTTTCGCAATGTTTCACTCATGACAGAACCACATTCAAAATAAGTTTTCAGAATTTCAAAGCGTTGTCCAAAGAAAACCAATCCATATTCGTTCAGCGGAAGGTTAGAACTAACCAAAAATCAACAACTTATGGCGCTAAAGTTGACAGCGCCATTATCGACTGGCTGTTCAAAATCGGACCAATAGATGGCCCACCCTTTATAACAATGGGGCCAGGAACTGTTCCTTGTGGCACCTCATATTCCACATTTTTGTACTCAGAGATATAATGATCAAAATAGACAGCTTGAGGCCAATTCCATAAATATGTTTCAAGAAGATCCAAAGTGGCACTCTTCCAGTGCAATGGGCTTATATCACAAAAAATTTTTATTTCATAATTCGATAGAACTCACCCAAACTAGCTCACCACCGCAAACCGTTTCTTGCTGTGAGCTCCCTACGTTTTATAAAAAATTATTGAAATCCCCGATTTTTCGGACCTCCGAAAACGAGGCGATGATGTGACGTCAAAACCCTAATACTGAAACAAGACTATTCCAGACAGAGATGAATGATACATGATTTCTGACAAAGCACCAAGATTGGTGAATCTGCAAGTTGATTTTTGGGACAAAGATAATAAGAACAAGAAGAGGATCAATTCTAACCTATATTAACTTTTTGCAAATCGCGAAACTTTCGAATATTAAATTGAAATACCTATTTTGACAAAAGTATGATTGAGAAATGTTTTGTGCCTAATTGCAATTATAAAAACATCATTTAGCTGGGAAGTTTGGGAACAAATCTGGCCCCCTCACTGGGTAAACACAATATTGTAGTTGTTTTGCTTTGCAGAAATTCATTGGGAAATTGCTTGAAAAATGAATGATCCATCTCTTAGAAGAACATTCAAAGGGAGATGCAAGTAGTATCTAGTCTAGGGAATAACCATACATTGTTTCATGCCAATTGATCATATTGTTGCATAGGTAAACATATCAATCAGTGACTGATTTAATGAGGATTCTCCATATGATGGGTACTCTGATGTTAAATATCCTTTCAGGTGAACAATTTTCCAATACAACTATAATAGGTACAAGCAATGAAAATTGAATGAATATTGTGTAACAAACCTTTCAGATTTTCTATTCCTCACTTCAGCACTGAGAAACTGTATGTTAGGGACATAAAAATTATTAACCATTTCCAAATCAATTTTTGGGAGATTATCTGAAGAGCCTTTTACAAATCTTGGTTCAATGTTCATGTTTATATTCAATATATCAATATAATATAAAGCAAGATTTGGAGGTTAATTTCATTTCGTGTCTTCTCTTCTCATTTTAAACGAAATAAATAACTTCGGAATCGGAATTCGAGACTCGATGTAAAACGAGTCAACAAAGCAATGTTGCTGCGTTTATCAAATGTATTGGATTATTGTGAAATTGTAATGGTTTGAGATTGAGACATTACGTTGTCAAGAGATTGTTTATATTCCAATGATTCAACCTACAATCGACAACTTGAATATATTCTTCTGCAGTAGTGGTAGTGGATATCAAAAGATATTTCGATATCGATTTCGATCTCTCGGATATTTTGTTTGGATGATATGGCAACAGTGATAAGTGTCACACATGGGTCACGCTCATTGGTTCAGGGCGAGATGAGGTTTCTACGTCATAAGAGGGTCCGTTTTCAGAAGGCACTATTATTTATGTTCAAAAATAAAATATTCCAGTTGATTTTTCGATCGAATTATGTCGTCGATCATTATTTATGTATAAAAGGATCATTATAAACATGGTTTGAGTTGAAATTTCTACTAAGGTGTACACGCCCATTGGAGCCTAAATCAGTACGCCGATAAACATAGGGTCAAACCTTGGATTTTTGTAAAAGTCAATAAACATAAAGTTGTTTAGTGAAAAAAGTATATACTGAGTGTAGGCTGCCAAACAGTCTGTAGGATAAACATTCTCTTTCCATCAGAATTCTTCACAAATGTGAAAGTCATAATGACAGAAGATAATTTTCCAATAGGGTGATTACTTTTCTGCCTCGTTAGAAACAAGGTAATAATATCATAAGTAGATACGTTTTTAATTGATGGAAAATCATATTATATGGGGATGCTTTTGGAGTATCATGAATGAATTTTTTAATTGATGGAAATCCATGGCAAATGTAAAAACTCACTAATGATAAGATTTCCATAAAATTCTCAAACGCACGACATGTAACACAGTAGCTTCGTCAGGTGATATACTGGTACAATGGTACATTATACCAGTGCGAAATCTTATTGATTGTGAAGTTTTTACATATGAATGATTTTGTCTACACATATTTTCTGGATTTTAATGATTGTCAAAATTATCAAACTTGAACATTGAATTTATTATTTTCTTTTGGATAAGGTATTCCATTTTGGTAACGCCAAAGAATTTTGGCATGTATCTGTTTTTGTATTTATTTATTTATTCATGTACTTTATTGTGGTAATTTTACTTTACTCTTGTAGGTAACTGATCCCAAATTTCGTGACGTGTCTATAAACTTTATGTTTCTAAGAATAAAATTATTATTATTATTATCATCTGAATTTATTCCATAAAACATTGGATTGGTGGGTACCAAAGACTTCAATTAGTATTGCTTATTATGTAGTATTCTGGATAGCAATACTGAAATGCGAGTATTTTGAATAGAAATTTCGATATGTATCATCCTATTGCAAGGGTTTCATCCAACATGAATCAACCTGTCGTATTAGTTTTCCCAGATGCTAAGAACTTGATGGAACAAACATTTTATATTACTGGAACATGTTTATAAATACCTCTTCTCTCAGGAGACTGAAATGCGGCTCATGAGTACACAGTCCTAACATAATAAGATCAGCATCCAGTCCATAAAGACAATGTCTTGTATTCGGATCATATCCAGGTTGGGCTCTCATGTAACGAATATAGTCCATGATCTTGTGTTCGCCTTCTCCGGGAGTCTGAATAAGTATCATTCGAATAAGTAAAATATGGGAGGAAGATAAATTCACAGATAGCGAGATAGGTGATTTATTAATACTAAGAAACAATAGTATACAGGGTGTTAACAAATAAGTGTCACAACGAAAAACTGTAGATTGCTCATGAAAAAAGAAACATTTTTTTCTCGTTCCAAATTTTTCTTCGGGCTTTCGTTATCAAGATACAAGGCGTCAAAAAAATACAAAAAAATCTGTTTTTTGCTACTATCTCTGGAACCGTCCGAGCTACGGAGTTAAGCCTTGGTACACACTTCATCATCAATAATGACTACTTTTAGGGCTATTGATCAATTTCCTTGGACATGTCAGTGGAAGAGAATTCAACGCCTCGTAAGGGCTTAACCCCCCAAACATTTATGCCACTGGATAAATTTTAATTTTCAAAGTAGATTCTGAAGCGCCAATATCTTTCAGACAAAAAACGTCCTCTTGTCTCAATGTTCTAAAGTGAACAATTTCCGAATAAAATGGCTCTTTATGAATAAGAACATACAGAATCCTGATGGTATCTCCAAAAATCGTCTGAAAATCCACTGGAAATAAACACCTCAGAACTGTCTAATAATATGTTCAATCAAATGTCAGGTTCTTGAGTATGCTGGTCTGGGTGCTGGTTTTCAAATTGTTGAGTTTATTAGGTGTTGTGAAGTGTGTTTAATTGAACTGGACATTTTTGATTTTTTGACGCCCTGTATCTTGAAAACGGAAGGCCGGAGAAAAATGTTAAAGAGGAAATAAATGTTTCTTTTATTATGAGGAATCTTCAGTTTTCCGTTGTGACACTTATTTGTTAACACCGTTATGACCATTACCGCAAGTGGAATACTATACTTCATCTACGTCTACGACTATAACAATGTAAATACTAAGGTACGAGTACAGAGGAAGAATACTCTGTTAGGTTAATCGAGGAGGTGAAACATTCATTTTACTTAATTATTTGGGATTTTCTCTCCTAGTTTCTACAAAACAAAAATATGAGTATCATTTCAATATGTGTAGAAGGACAAATCAGATGATTTGCCCCAAAATTTCACTGAGTTTAACAAATTTTTCTATCCTTACTGAAAATGAAGAACATATGGCAGAGTGGAATAATATTAAAATCATAGGAAAGGAAGGTAACAACCAAAAGAGAAAAATTAAGGAATCCGCTTGCATTTTTCTGAACGGAGACAATAGCATTGCTTCCTGTTCAGTTGATATAGATAGAACATGGTATTCAATACTGAAAACTGAACATGAAAATGGTAGATTCAAGCTCAATTAATGAAAACATCCTTTAACTCATTTGTATACTAACATCATCACTCATCAATATGCTAACATTAGCGTGAAACTAGAAGAGAGTTTTAGAATGAAAATATTTCACATTTTTATGTTGAGAATGGGAGCAGATTCGTTCCCGAAACGTCCAAAACTAAGTAAAAATTTGATATTTTTTCAATATACAGGGTGTCCCAAAATTAGCCTGCCAAACTGTACCAACGGCTTCTTCGACCGAAATTAGTAAGAAAAGTTTCAATGAACATGAATCGAGAAATTACTCATAAGGGAGTTACGGCCCCTTGAGAGAGAGGGTCCTGAACATGATATTTCTTGAATATTTCCGAAAAGCTACGTGATAAAATAATGCAATTTGATACAAGAACTAAACTTTCCATGCCCAATTCGGTGAACATAAAATCATTTCAAAGTTTCATTCGGGAGTGTATAATACAGGGTGGGACTACATTAAATATTGCTCAAACTTTTTCGTATGCATATTTTTTGACAATTTAATCTTGGATTATAAAAATCCACACCATTTCACACAAAAAAAGTGCTCCTGTTCCGCATCGATAGGATGTATCATTTTCGAGTGAAATCGATTTGAAAATATTGATGCACTCACATCTTATGCATAACGTTGCCATTTTTCAAATCATAGTGGCTATAAAAAAATCAAGTATACTTATTTTTACCAAACAAACTCAAGAAAGCACAAAAAGCAGGAAAATAAAGATAAAAAAACTACTTCAATTTTTGTGCATTTTTTCCCATTTCCACTACGGCTCATTGCAATGTTATGCATAATATCTGAGATGTAACAATATTTACAAATTTCTTTTACTCGATAATAATACATCTGATCGTCACGGAATAATAGTAGCTTTTTTCTGTAAAGAGGTGTGAAATTTCATAATCAGAGATTAAATTGTCGAAAAATATGCATAAAAAAACTTTTGAGCAATATTTAATGTAGTCCCACCCTGTATTATACACTCCACATTGAAATTTTGGAATGATTTTATTTTCTCTGCATTAGGCATGGAAATTTTAGTTCTTGTACCAAATTGCATCTTTTCATCACATGGAGTTTCGGATATACTCAAGAAATATCATCTTCAGGAGCCTCCTCTCAAGGGGACGTAGCTCCCTTAGGACACACTTCTCGACTCATGTTCACTGAAGGTTTTCTTTTTATTTCTGGTAATAAAAGCCGCTGGTGAAGTTTGGCATGCTAATTTTGGGACACCCTGTATATATATTTCTTCTCTCCAAACAGAGTGTTACTGACAAGCTATTAGATTTTTCTTTTAGGCTTCCTGAACAATTTGTTAAAAGCGACATTTTTGGGCAAATCATCTGATTCGTCCTACTACACATACAGGGTGAGTCATTAGTGTGGCAAAGTGAGATAACTGCTTTACTATTTGAGATAGATGAATAAAAATTTCAGAGATGATCTAGGATCATGAGCAGCACATATCCAAATTATTTCGCTTTATACAGTGTAACTCAGAAATGCGTGGCGTATTAAAGTTATACTTTTTCTCATGGGACACCCTGTATTTCATTGTATTTTCGCATTATCCTTTGTGAGCTGATTTCATCATTGCATATGTAATATGTAAATCTCACAATATCTTGTGGGGCAAGAATAAACCCCCACAGGTCCCCTTTTAATTAAATGGAATAAAAATCATCTTTTTCAAAATACATATGGGTAGGAGTTTTTTTCTATGAATGTGTTCTTCTAATGGTACTTGATAATGTGTTGATCTCACAATATTTTGTTGGATGAGAATTAACCCCACAGCCCCCTTTTTTTGGACTTCTGAGAAAAAAAAAACATAACTTTTTCCAAGTACATGTGGATGAGAGTTTTTTCTATGAATGTGTTCCTCTAATGGTACTTGATAATGTGTATATCTCACAATATTTTGTTGGGCAAGAATCAACCCCACAGAGCCCTTTGTTGAAATTTCTAAAAAAATTCAACTTTCTCAAAATACACATGGATGGGAGTTTTTTCTCCATAAATGTGTTCCTCTGATTGAAAACAATGTGTATATCTCACAATATTGGTCTGGTAAAAATCATAACTTTTTATAAAGTTCAGGTGGATGGGAGTTTTATTCTATGAATGGGTTCCTCTAATGGTACTTGATAATGTGTATATCTCACAATATTTTGTGGGGCAACAATAAACCCCACAGGACCCCTTTTTGTGAATTTTGGAAAAAATCATAACTTTTTCAAAATACAGGTGGATGGGAGTTTTTCCCATAAATGTGTTCCTCTCATAATTGGCAAAGCTGTGGCTGGAACTAGTGGCTTGTTTCACATTGATATACAAATGAGGTAAAAACTTGCAAAACATGATGTAATCCTCATATCATAAATAAGTATGGAGGAGCACCAAAATGAATTTTGGTAGATATATGGAAAACCAAGAAAAATTATAAAAACAGTTAAAATCTTTCATCATGGCCCTCAAATAGCTCGATGGTGCATTTTCATATAGAGGTAAGTTGATATCAGTAGGCCTATTTTGTTCTCTAGTTCACTCTGTAGAATCTATGGTACATTGTTCTGGAACACCTTGTAGAATGAATAAAAAATAAAGCCCTTTAGCTCTTATTTTATTTTTGAATAATATTTGTGATTTGTGTAACTGGTCAAAAAATTCTAGTTACACCACTGATTGTATCAAGTGTAACTAAGATTTCTTCAGGAAATAGGGTCCCACACTCTAACCCACATTTCCAACTACCAACAACTTGAACCTTGATAAAAATGAGGAGACTTTGTGCAATTTAACCAGTGAAAGTATATCTTATTATGTCAAATATTCAACTTACTTCATGACCTGATAATATAACTTTACATTTTTGCCACATTGGATCATTGGATATTTTATCAACAACAAAATATTGAAGCTGTTGGTGCAATCTAGCCATGAATACTGTTCCAGGGGTAATACAATTTGAATCAAAACGAGCTTCCTCAGGCAGTTTTTCACCTTTCTTGAGTGCATCTGCTTCTTGCTTTTCTGAATCTTTGGCAGATCTGAATCTCCTTCCTCTTTGTTGATTCATTTTTGCTCTGGGTGCTACCCCATCAACAGCCATGAAGAAAAGTTTCTGTGGCTTTATCATTCTGAATAAAACTTCAATATAGTGAAAAACATCTTTGAATATTTTTTCCTCTGATATTCGGAAGTGGACATTTCCATCATCAGGATGAGAGCACATATGGATAATACCATTCATATCCAAGTATAAATTGTCGAATTCGGGGATCTACAAAAAGTGGTAATTATTGTGGGTACAAAAATGCCCAGAAATGAGCTACATACCTGATATTCTTTTACCAACTCACTGAGACATGGGTATCTTTCACTCATGTATCGAAAAAACTTCGGAACACCCATATTGAACAAAATCAATTATAATGAACAATATGTGAATATCAAATGTCTGTAATAACAAATACGAAAAATAAAGTTTCACAAGTTTTCAAAACAAATCCACAGCCATTTGCAAAAACACAAAGACAAACATAAAACGTAAAGTTCACGTTCTGTGCATTTTGACACCTGACTTAGACATACAATGAACTCTAGCCAGTAAGCAGTTTAGGAACACTAAACTCTGGCATTTTCGTGAATAGCTTCACACTAACAACTAAATGTACATGACACTGATGTTTCGACGTTTTTTGTATATTAGAGTACGAACGGACACCAGACCAATGACTACTAAATATCTAGACTGTCTGACGATGACCCGTTAGACAGTCTAGATATTTAGCCGTCATTGAATAGTTACGATATCTATAATGAGCGTCATAACTCCCTTGGGATATTAAGGTTCAAAAACTCCCTCTTACCTTTTACAGGTGAAAATGATACAAGAAATGCTTATAAACGTTTATATGCAATGAAAACTAAGACATATTTTCCTTATTCACGTCATTACAAATAATAAATGTACAATTTTCAAATGTTCCCTGAAAATTACTTCCGCCGCTGGAAACAATTTGTTTCACGTTTTTAACGGAAAAACATCGGTTGATAAAGAAAGTTTGGTTATAAATATGTAACATAGCGACAACCTAGCAACAACCAACAATGCTACAATCAACGCTACCTAATTCAAATATACCAGAAAGGTTATGAATTTAAACATTGTTATGAAAATTGGTCAGAAATAAAATTATCTATGTACCACGGGAATTATAGAGCCTTAATGACCTCTGGCAATTGCTGTCCCTCGGGCCAGAGGCCCTCGGGACGCATACTTTGCCATCGGTAATTAAGGCCCTCATAATTCCCTTGATACATAAATAACTATTTCTACATCGAGTCAGACTTATCTCTGAAAATCAATCATTGTCGTAGATAAAAAACAGAAATAGGGTATAAACACCCACTTCAATTCATATATTGATACACTTTTCGCAGAACCATAGTTATAATAATGAAAAGAATTCATATAACAACATTTCAATATGACAAAATAGACACATATGGATATACTTATTGTTTGTTCCTAATTTTATGTAAAACTTTATTCGAGTAATAAAGTTTAAAACATGAAGATTGTTTTGGTTTTCCACCGTTTCCTGCATTCACTTTTTACTGATAGTTTTGGAATGTTGTCGGTATTGAAAACGATATTACATAACGTTGCAATTTACTTGATTTCCTCAGTTTCAGATTTGAATTTCATCATACATAGTTTTGCAATCAATTCCTTCAACATGTTTCGCAGTTCGTGTGACGATAATATTGGATTTTTTTTTTTCAATAGTTCTTTTTGTAAATCATTTTAACAACGGATATCTTATAAATCTTCTGTTGCAAAATGAGCCTGAAATGTAGTTTTATTCCGATCTGCTGTTATAAGAAGTGAAGGTTAATGTATGTACTCACCTCACGAATTTTGCCTGTCTTGCAAAGTTATAAACTATAATTTTTCTACGGTTATAATAGATGACAGCTACATTTTCGATTTCTCTGGCTTGTAGTAGAGTCACTGGATGTTATTAGTTTGATAAGAGTTCGGACACAGAAATGACAACGGTTAGGGTTTTTGAGTGTTTAGATTTATTAAGTTTCACACCTTGCATTGTGACAAGAGCACCATAGTCGTCCCGCGCTTTTTCATTCAAAATTGTTTGAATTTGACAATACATTTTATAAACGTCAGAATTGAAATAAAATTTCATAATTATACATTCGAGATGAAAGCAGCTATGGAAATTACTTGCTGTGTAATCAATTGTGCCAATTCTGAAGAAAATGGATATCATTTATTCAATTTTCCGAAACAAATATCAACCATTCGCTTATGGAAGGAAGATATGAAATGGCCTGATGGGTGGAAAATCAATTTGAAGACGAGCAAAAGGACCCCGCACTTTTTCTATATAAAAATGGCGTTCCGTCGAATTTCCCCAATTTTTGGTAAATGATAGTACTCGACATACTGATTGAATATGCCAAGTCCCAACTCAATCCTATGACTAGTTTACGAGATACAGGGTGTTGAAGTTGAAGAATACCTAATTTTTCTCGGCCTATATCTCTAAGATAGGACAAATGAATTCCAATTTTTCGGGAGCACGTAATAGTTATGCCCTTAGGCGCAAGAACTATATAGGTATTCGACCAAAACTGATTTTTATTACAGGGTGATTCTCATTTCAAATAATGTGTTTTTTTGAATATCTGAATATCAATGCTACAAATTGATAACAATTACAAAATGAGATTTATAGCCAAGTATGCTCTTCTTACATCAATTGAATTCGTAAAATATAATAATTATACATGGTGTTTCATTAATGCTGTTGATTGCATAATTGGTCTATCCTAAAGTTCATTGGGCCACCTCGTATTATCGGGTTGATTCCAGACATTCAAAATATTTTTGAAGGATGTATCCCAATGAGTTCCATGATATACAGAGTGATTCATCGATTGAAAAAATTGACAACCACGAAAAAATATTCAAAAACCACTATTTTTTTCATCACCCTCTAATTCGAAATTATTACCGTCGATGTAAGATTTTTTTCCACCAATATACTCAGTATGGATATTTCAATCAAATTGGGAATTTTCAGACCCATGCTGTGACTAGTTTTTTTTATACATCGAATAATGTGAAAATAATTATGGAAAAGTAATTACATAATAACACGAAAAATTGCTCCGAATCGCAAAACTAGTAGTCACTAGTCAACTATGTCAAAAAATGTGATTTGTTCGTAAACAAAATCTAGTGGTCTTATTATAGGTCCGCTAGCAAAACATCTCGAAAATGTTTTTCAGAAAACATCAAACAAATCACAATATGCCCCCGAAAAAATCTCATCAACGACACAACTCATCAACGATCCCACTCATATAAACGTGCTAAAACTCATGAGCGTTCCAAGTCGACAGCGGTTTTTCCCAACTCAATCCTATGACTACTTTTCGAAAAAAGTATGAAACTAAACTTCCGCAAACGCCTAGTAAGAGGTGCGCGTTAATATATTTTGCAACTCTCCTATATCCAACCAACTTCCAATCTTTTGACCATACTGTATATTGTTAGAATCGAAGTTAGTATATGCACATCGCAAAGACACTAAAGTTGGAGTTTTGGTTATGTAGATATTCGTTACCGGGTTCAGTATAGGCCTGAAAGAAAAATGTCAATTAAGAATTTCAATCACAGATTTTGAAAAAATAGACAAACCAACTCGTTTCCCCACCACCTGAGAGGTAGAGTTTCAGGCGCGTTTTTTTTATTGTGGTATCCCCTGTAGGCCTAGTCCACGTTAGAAAGTGAAAGTTCCAATACCTATAATATGATTGTGTGTAGGCAGGATTGGCGCAGTGGACGAGCACCCGAGTCAGGACTGCGGGGTCGTGGGTTCGATTCCCAGACAGCGCAAGGAGTTTTTCGAATATTAATATACGAATTAAATATTGTGAAGTTTCGGAGCATCGGCTGGGGATAGTCCTGCACGATTCACTGTTGCGTGCCTACATACAATATAGATACATGTTCAGAACACTATGGGCTAAAGGACCTCATTAGGGATCGATGGTTGGTTGGTATGTACATACCTACCAACGAAGGACATATACTACTACTACTACTATAATTATGTTTCACAAGGAACACAGAAATCAACTAATCGCCAGATTCAAATCAGTTCCGGACCGATGTTCATATTTTCAGGATTCAATCGATTTGCAGCATCGTCGATACAATTCAAAAGGCGATCAGATGGAAAGGTAATATTTCCTTGGTTTCTTGCGTATCCAAGGAACCATACCACACTGGCTACGTGTGCACACGTCCCTAATGTTCTAGCACCGGACCTACAAGTACAGTAGTACCCTAAAATGGGCGGATCTTGTAAATTATTATCATCGATTTCTCTGAATACTAACCACAGCATATGTTTAGTGGCATTTCTGAACCGAGAAAATACTCGAAATCTTAAAAAATTGGGTTCCTCAATGAGTTCGTCAATATCGAGTGTATTTTGTTCCCCTCCATCTCTTTGTATCGTGTCTTGTATGTAGGAGGCAGCTAAGTGAATGTGATATGACCCTGTGAGTGTTTTCAAATATTTTAAGTCAAGTCGAGGAAACGTCGGTACATGTCTATGGTTCAAACGAAACCATCGACCATTTCTTGTACGGAGGTTTTCAGCCTCAACTCGGGCCTGAACAATGTTGACTTCTTCGATATCATGCAACATTTGTGTAGCTAATTCCAATGTGCCCGGCATCCTTATTGGAGGATGGTATTTGTTTATTAGGGCGCCAGCAATCAAATAGAATTCGCGTAATTTTGCAACATGTGTTATTGATATCGCTCCTCGGAAAAATTTGAAAATCGATTTGAAATGCCCATTTCTAGCCTCTACAATCCATCTGGTGCTAGTAATTAAGCGTGCCCTATTAGTTTCGATTGTTGTGAGTTGTCTTTGGTTTGGTGGTAGAAATGGTGGCATATGGTAATGGAGACCAAGATCCTGTAAAAGACCAATAGAGTCCCTATAACCCCTATCGACTATCACTACATCGCCTTCTTGAAACCATGTCCTCATTCTATTTATATCATTCTGTAGCTCATGCTGCAGAATGGTCTCATCATTATTTCTAGCATCAGAAAAGTATGGACCATTAATTGCCAAGATGTAGCCATCAGGAGCGACCATAATTTCAGGCTTAACCAGGTGCTCATTTGTATGGAAGCAGTAGGATTGTCTCAATATCCGGAAATTACTACTTTTTTCTATTTTGTTATATGTACAGTCTATATACACAATTGCTTTTGGGATATTGGGAGAAGGGTTGTATAGCTGATTGGTGTATACAGAAACGTGTCTATTAATATAATCGTCTCTTGTAATAGAGTCGAAACCAATATTATTAGTTACAAATCTTTGCATTAGAGATATCCTCACATTCGATATTATCAAGCTAGTTGTTTGTCTTGAAGAAAAATGAAACAAGATCATTGGATATTTTATCAACAACAAAATATTGAAGCTGTTGGTGCAATCTAGCCATGAATACTGTTCCAGGGGTAATACAATTTGAATCAAAACGAGCTTCCTCAGGCAGTTTTTCACCTTTCTTGAGTGCATCTGCTTCTTGCTTTTCTGAATCTTTGGCAGATCTGAATCTCCTTCCTCTTTGTTGATTCATTTTTGCTCTGGGTGCTACCCCATCAACAGCCATGAAGAAAAGTTTCTGTGGCTTTATCATTCTGAATAAAACTTCAATATAGTGAAAAACATCTTTGAATATTTTTTCCTCTGATATTCGGAAGTGGACATTTCCATCATCAGGATGAGAGCACATATGGATAATACCATTCATATCCAAGTATAAATTGTCGAATTCGGGGATCTACAAAAAGTGGTAATTATTGTGGGTACAAAAATGCCCAGAAATGAGCTACATACCTGATATTCTTTTACCAACTCACTGAGACATGGGTATCTTTCACTCATGTATCGAAAAAACTTCGGAACACCCATATTGAACAAAATCAATTATAATGAACAATATGTGAATATCAAATGTCTGTAATAACAAATACGAAAAATAAAGTTTCACAAGTTTTCAAAACAAATCCACAGCCATTTGCAAAAACACAAAGACAAACATAAAACGTAAAGTTCACGTTCTGTGCATTTTGACACCTGACTTAGACATACAATGAACTCTAGCCATTAAGCAGTTTAGGAACACTAAACTCTGGCATTTTCGTGAATAGCTTCACACTAACAACTAAATGTACATGACACTGATGTTTCGACGTTTTTTGTATATTAGAGTACGAACGGACACCAGACCAATGACTACTAAATATCTAGACTGTCTGACGATGACCCGTTAGACAGTCTAGATATTTAGCCGTCATTGAATAGTTACGATATCTATAATGAGCGTCATAACTCCCTTGGGATATTAAGGTTCAAAAACTCCCTCTTACCTTTTACAGGTGAAAATGATACAAGAAATGCTTATAAACGTTTATATGCAATGAAAACTAAGACATATTTTCCTTATTCACGTCATTACAAATAATAAATGTACAATTTTCAAATGTTCCCTGAAAATTACTTCCGCCGCTGGAAACAATTTGTTTCACGTTTTTAACGGAAAAACATCGGTTGATAAAGAAAGTTTGGTTATAAATATGTAACATAGCGACAACCTAGCAACAACCAACAATGCTACAATCAACGCTACCTAATTCAAATATACCAGAAAGGTTATGAATTTGAACATTGTTATGAAAATTGGTCAGAAATAAAATTATCTATGTACCACGGGAATTATAGAGCCTTAATGACCTCTGGCAATTGCTGTCCCTCGGGCCAGAGGCCCTCGGGACGCTTACTTTGCCATCGGTAATTAAGGCCCTCATAATTCCCTTGATACATAAATAACTATTTCTACATCGAGTCAGACTTATCTCTGAAAATCAATCATTGTCGTAGATAAAAAACAGAAATAGGGTATAAACACCCACTTCAATTCATATATTGATACACTTTTCGCAGAACCATAGTTATAATAATGAAAAGAATTCATATAACAACATTTCAATATGACAAAATAGACACATATGGATATACTTATTGTTTGTTCCTAATTTTATGTAAAACTTTATTCGAGTAATAAAGTTTAAAACATGAAGATTGTTTTGGTTTTCCACCGTTTCCTGCATTCACTTTTTACTGATAGTTTTTGAATGTTGTCGGTATTGAAAACGATATTACATAACGTTGCAATTTACTTGATTTCCTCAGTTTCAGATTTGAATTTCATCATACATAGTTTTGCAATCAATTCCTTCAACATGTTTCGCAGTTCGTGTGACGATAATATTGGATTTTTTTTTTCAATAGTTCTTTTTGTAAATCATTTTAACAACGGATATCTTATAAATCTTCTGTTGCAAAATGAGCCTGAAATGTAGTTTTATTCCGATCTGCTGTTATAAGAAGTGAAGGTTAATGTATGTACTCACCTCACGAATTTTGCCTGTCTTGCAAAGTTATAAACTATAATTTTTCTACGGTTATAATAGATGACAGCTACATTTTCGATTTCTCTGGCTTGTAGTAGAGTCACTGGATGTTATTAGTTTGATAAGAGTTCGGACACAGAAATGACAACGGTTAGGGTTTTTGAGTGTTTAGATTTATTAAGTTTCACACCTTGCATTGTGACAAGAGCACCATAGTCGTCCCGCGCTTTTTCATTCAAAATTGTTTGAATTTGACAATACATTTTATAAACGTCAGAATTGAAATAAAATTTCATAATTATACATTCGAGATGAAAGCAGCTATGGAAATTACTTGCTGTGTAATCAATTGTGCCAATTCTGAAGAAAATGGATATCATTTATTCAATTTTCCGAAACAAATATCAACCATTCGCTTATGGAAGGAAGATATGAAATGGCCTGATGGGTGGAAAATCAATTTGAAGACGAGCAAAAGTAAGGTACTCATTAAAATTCACTTTTTATAACAGCATCTGATTAGAATGAAACTATATTTTAGGCCCATCTTCAAACAGAAGATTTCAAATTCTGTTTGTGAGAATCTGCTGTTCCATCAATTTACAAAGCAGGCGATTTCGAGAACAAATTTCCATTATTATCATCACACAAAATACAAAACGAAATGATCATGGAAAAGAGGAAATGATCGCAAAATTACATAATGAAATTGAGAATTTGAAAACGAAACTAAGAGAAGCAAACTAAGAGAAGCAAGTAAACTACAGAGTGATATATATTATTGAATGGCGTTTTTGGTGCCGACCAAATTTATAATTCAACAGTGGAAAGTGAATAGTTATTTATGTATCAAGGGAATTATTATAAGGGCCTTAATTACGCTGGAGGTTAATGTTTTGGAGATATTTTCTATATCAATCCATGTTACTTATTAGCTCCTAGGGCGCTAAGTGGAGTTGCTGAGAACTTTACAAAACCAGGTATTTGGTAGGTCTCGTCAAAATAAACTACTTTTTTCCTATCAAATGTTTATCGAAAAATGATTTGTTCTTTGTATTTCAGCACTTTGTATCTACGAAATGATGCATTTCCGGACACAAAAGCTTATATAGACTTTATTTCTTTTAATTGTCTCAAGAATACTTCACTTGAAAGTACTTATGTTACTTCCTGTATATTGAGAATATCTATCTATCATATTGTTTTATACTCATCACTGGAGTACAGTTTCACATATATTAAGGAATTATAGCTATAAAAGTTCATCCATATGTGTATATTTTCTAATATTAAAATGTTGTTACATGCATTCTTTTCATTTATATAACAGTTGTTCTGTTAGAAGTGTATCACTATAAATTGAATTGGGTGTTTGTACCCTATACCCATTGTCCATCTACGGCTATGATTGATTTGACAGAAAATATAACCTCTGAAATCGTATCTGACAATCAGGCACTACTAGGGAAATTGAAAAGACAAAGAGCCGAATATATGTCTTATTCTTTTATTCACCTAAACCATTGTATTATAGAAAATAGAAAAGGACAAAAGTTCAGCTGTGTCCGAACTCAGCTTGTAGTTATCTCATTTCCTGTCAAGTAATGCTCATCTATTAGACAGAGCTGTCATTGCTTGCAATTTGACATTCCATGAGCGATGAGATTTGATGTATCGAACACAGTAAAAGGAGAGCAATTTTGTGTTATAGCCGTAGATGAATTAATTTTCCGTTTCATACATTCCTGACATGAGGAAATGGTTGATATTACTTCTGGAAAATTGAAGAAATGAAACCGCCATTTCCTTCAGAATGCTAGCAATTTATTACATAGCAGGACATTTTCATTCATGCTTTTTTCTCAATAGTTTATGAGATTTTATCTCAATTCTGAAGTTCATAAAATTTATTGTCAAGTCCAAACAATTTTGAATGATAAAGCAAAGAGGAGAACCTACTATTCTTTGGATAAAGCGCGGAACGACTATGATGCTGTTGTCACAATGCAAGGTGTGTAACCAGTGCAGTGTACATATACCTAGTGTATAACAACTAGATTTTCGGTACTGGCGGGATCCTTTCGGCATCGGATTCTGATAACTGATAACCTGTCACACGTCACACGTCACACATAGTATATTCACCATAGTCTGATATTCACATATTCACATAAATAAAATTTAAAATTTTGTAGAAAGAAAAGGTTATTTTTTGATTTCAGTTTGATTTATTATTATAGTAGTGGTATCATAAATAAAGAGAAAAAAGTGGAAAAGTTGTTAGAAATTAGTGATGATGATTGCCACAGATCTGAATAAGCTTGCCGAAGATTTGGAAAAACAAGAATTGGAGGTATTTGGTTGAAATCTGAGAAACATGAATTATATGAATATCATACTAATAATTACAGGCACCAAATGCTGAACCTCCACCCCAGGTCTATGAACAACTGTTAGCCATATATTTATATCAAAATGATTTGTATGTGTGATTTCCAACAATCTGTTATTTGTAGACTAATGTAATATTTTTAGATGCAATGCAAAATATTTGTGGAAACGAATACCTCCAAATATAAAATCATCAAATCCAGAACTTGGTCATATATGGGCTGTAGGACAAGCAATGTGGAATAGAGATTTCTCAGCTATATACAGAGCCCTAAATGCAGTAACATGGTCAGAGTCAATTGCTGAGATAATGAAACTTGTGCAAGGTGCAAATGGGATAGTTTGTGCATGAAACAATCAGCAATCAGGCTTCTTGATGATAATTGAGGATCTGTCATTGGATGTTTTTGGATATACCTATATATAGTTTCTTTATCAAGATATTAAAAACTGATCAATAATAACATTGTGCTGATATGTTTGTCATAATATCTTTGACTGAAACTTATGGATCCCACATTATTGTCACTATTTTGTACAATTATATCTACTCAAGTAGTCATCAACACTTTTTCTTGGTGCAATATAAACTGTAAAATGATAGTGAGTGATTTTATAGAAATTCATTAATGTTGATGTTTTTATTTCAGATGTGATTAGGACAAGAGCAGTGGATCTCATTTCCCAAGCATACTCCTCTATCACCTTGGATACAGTATCAGCCATGACAGGTCTCTCTCCTGACATTTGCATTCCTGCTTGTACAGAGAGAGGCTGGAAGTTTGAACCAGATACCAAAATGGTTCATCCTGTACGTCAAAATATTGAACATATTGGCCAAACTAGCAGTGAGGATCAACTCTATAAGTTGACTGATTTTGTTTCTTTTCTAGAAAATTAAAATAGCATCAGTTCAATATTTTTGTTTCCTTTGTTTGAGAGCTTTTGGAAAATTCAAATATAAGTTGTTTTTCAAGATCAATAATCAATTTAATACAACTTTATCAATTCTTGATGTACATTATGGTATAGTAGAACAGATATGAGGATTATTTATAAATAATTATTAATTATTAGAATTCTTTAATAAAGGACCCCGCACTAAACTATAGGAGAAATGGCTCTCGATGAAAATCGCTGAATTTTTGGTATGTTTCAGACTTTGATATACTGAACAGATCTTCCATTGAACTAACCTCAAAAAATGGACAGTTTTTCCGATATTGAGCTCCAAATGTCAGTTTTTTTTTAGAAAAAAAAAGTATCTGAAAATGGTTGCAATTTTGGGCATGTTGTAGATAGGAATGAACTGATGAAAAAATTCAATTGACCTAACCTCCAAAAATTGACAGTTTTCTCGATATTGACCTTCAAATAGATTCTTTTTAAGAAAAAAAATCTCTGAAACTAGCTGAATTTCTGGTATGTTGTAGATAGGAATGAACTGATAGATATATGGCATAAATTCGACTAGTGTGTATACCTACAACCCCATTGATTTCGGATAGTTTATGTAACCTTCTTTTAAATAATATCTATCTCATTACATCCTCTCTTCGGTTTTCTTCATGTACTATATGAAGATTTGTTTTTAGAAGAATGAAATGCCAGATACTAATTCGTAAACAGCAACTTTGTCTATTGACTATTGTTCCATTCATCTTATTTTCCTTACGTACACTTGGAGGTCAATATCGAAAAACTGTCAATTTTTTGAGGTTAGGTCAATTGGGTTTTTTCATCAGTTCATTCCTATCTACAACATACCAGAAATTAAGTCATTTTCAGAGATTTTTTTACTTGAAAAAATTCCATTTGGAGGTCAATATCGAGAAAACTGTCAATTTTTGGAGGTTAGGTCAATTGGATTTTTTCATCAGTTCATTCCTATCTACAACATGCCAAAAATTCAACCATTTTCAGATACTTTTTTTTCTCAGAAAAATGACATTTGGAGGTCTATATCGGAAAAACTGTCCATTTTTCGAGGTTTGTTCAATGGAATATATGTTCAGTATATCAAAGTCTGCAACATACCAAAAATTCAGCGATTTTCATCGGAAGCCATTTTCCCCATAGTTTAGTGCGGGGTCCTTTCAAATCAATGCAACTTTAATAATATTTATAGACCCCTTTATGAGGTACATAAATTATGGCAAAGGAGCGCAGTTTCATGCCTAACTAAACGCCGATTTGAAATAATCTTGAAATATTCGGAATAGGTACATTTGGACTATACAGAGAAATCTGAAAAACCAAGATTCCTAAAATCCTTGATGTTTTCTAGATAGAAGGTTCATTCAGGCTGTGTATGTTGTGTCAGGTTCAATTGTTCAGAAAATAAAGTGTCTTCTGTTTTGTTCGTCTAGTTAATTTACTAAAAAAATTTGAAAATAAAGGCAGTGTCCGAAGTGAGATGTTGTCCGAAGTTTGACCATTTAAGCGGGGTTCACAACCAAACTTTTTACGTTTCGTATTCTGATTGGTGAAGCAGAATCTGAAATTAAACGTGAGCAAATGTCATTCACAACAACAAAAAATCGTGACTTTTTATGGCTCAGTTGCCTTGGTTTTGTTATTTGTTTTTCATCCTGAAATGAAATAAATAATCAACAATAATATTGATCAGATAATTAATAATATTGAATTGATAGAACTGGCGGTGATGAAAATTGATCCTTATTCAATACTTGAAGGGAAAAATCAATCTTCAACAAGAAAATAATGAATTGAACAGTATATACCTATCTACTATTCTGTGGATTCACGAAAAAATCATGAAAACATTATCATAACTTCCATATTATTACAGAATGTTTCACATTATTCGTCTATTTTTACTATTTTCACAGACGATGGCTTCTTGCAACGCAAAAAGCTGAATATTTTCAGCTTTTTGCGTCATTTCAATTACAAATTTTGCTTCACCAATCAGAATACGAAACGTAAAAAGCAAAACGTAAAAAGTTTGGTTGTGAACGCCGCTTTATATTATCATCAAGGCAACCGCATCAGATGACGAATTGTCGCATAACATAAAATTTTCTTCAGAAACGTCACACCAATTTGTGATGTCACTATGACGTGTAATCACGTCATCACGTTGGCTATACGTCACTTGCCCAGATGTGCCCAGATAGCACAAGTACATTTAATGGATATACTATGGATATCCATCATGGATATTGTGGATGTCCATAAGATATCCGAGAAAGGCTCTGGTATATCCTATGGACGTCCATAGGATGTGACAGTGTGACCTTTTTGGATGTCTTGAAGATATTCATTATGAATATCCATAATATATCAACTATGGATATGGATAAGAGATAGTATACCCCATAGACAAACCAAAAGTTTCTCTATGGTATACCCTATGTATAGAATTATTTTATGAAGTGATTAATCAGAAAAAATACTGATAATTCATAACACTAGTAATTCGCTATAGCTCTTGGATGCAGCGGCAGTAGCTAGCAGCGGCAGCGTAATCTGCAGCGTCAGTGCAGCATCAGCGTACAGGCCATACAGGCATTCTCCACTGCCGCGATCCGCGATCCACTGGTGAAATTTCGGATTTGACGTGGACAATGATCAAAATGACAATGGGTTGCGTGCAAGAACTGTCAGATGACCGACATTGGAGGCAAAACATTGAAACACGTCACTTTTCTTATTTGTTTACAAGTGATCGAAATAGTTTTCCACAATTATTTTAGCATATGAATCGTATTTTTCCGCTATTCATCAATTCGCCCATGCCATCACATTGTGCTGTTGTAAAATGCACAAAAACTGCAGCGGAAGATGAAGGAATCCGGATAGTACATTATGATTTAAAAGTAATAAGTACCTACTATAGTCACTCACATATAGTTTTCATTTTTGAAATTTGGTTATTTCTCTGATTTCTCATCGGAATTCCTTCTGACCTTCTGCAATAGGAGCTAATAGAAATATACCTGAAATTTCTAGAATAATGCAAGAAGATTGGATTAATGCAATCAATCGGGAGGACTGGTCTGACATGCTGACAATCGTGTGTGTTGTAGACATTTTCAATCTATTACCAGTATTAGCTTGTATTGCAGAAGTGGCAGGAGGAATTTCAATAAGGAATGACAACATTTCATAATGATAACTATGTGAGATTACTATTTACCTGAAAAATCATATTCCCTAGTCTCTTGCTGCATTTTTTGTGCATTGTACAACAGCACAATGCGAAGGCATGCTTGAATTGATGAATAACGCAAGAAACACGATTCATATGCCAAAATATTGTGAAAAACTATTTCAACCTTTTGATTTCTCTGTAAACAAATAAAAAAGTGAGGTTGTGTTTCAATAATTCACAGAAGAGTGAGGTTGTGTTTCAATATTTTGCCTCCAGGGTCGGTCATCGTCAAGGTCATCGTGCACGCGACCTATGGTTGGTGACATGACATCACTCAAAATGTCATTTATTTCACAACGTCAATACGTCAGCTTTTAGGTTATGTTAAAATTGTTTAAAAAACTTTAGTGTAACAAGACAAATATCCAGAATTCTATCATTTTATTCGCAAACTGTGCTTCAGTCTTCTTGTATTTGCATTAGCACTTCATTAGTCCTTAGTAATCAGATCAGTAACGTTTTATTAGTGGACAAATTCGAGATGGTAAGCTGACATTCACTGAAGGTTGAAAAATTTTTAAAAAAATGTATCATCTTTATAACTGTTTCAGCACGGCAGACTTAAAATTCGGACCTCAGAGGATCAGAAACTTCGGAAACAAAAAGAACAACAAAAGAAATTAGCAGCATATCACATGGGAACTGAAAAAATTCTCTCTTCAAGGAAGCAAGACACCTATGATCCTGAAAGTATTTCCATCTGCACCCAGATACTGGTTGTAAATCCTGATATTTATACTTTGTGGAACTATAGAAAAGAAGTAATCCTAATAAAAAAGGAAGAAAGGTGAGGACTACTCAAAAGAATAAACAACTATAGAATAGAATAGAATAGAACTTTATTTACGATTATCCATTGCATATATTATAATCACAAATATTATTACAAGGTGGGAAAATATATATATATATATATAAAATATATACCTATGTAAATATTCAACAAATACAAATAAACATAAATAACAAGAGAATATCCTAAATCAGTATGAATCTATCACAGTTATCACTCACAGTTGCTATATATCCTAGATCATTATGAATCTATATCACAGTAATCAAACACTCATGAAAGTGTTGGTACACCTCCAGGTACATCATAGTTACTAGAAGTATTCTGATTAGGAGTAGCTGATGCCTGATGTAAAAGTAATCAAGTATATGAATATTATGTAATAAGTGTAGGCAAGTATAATATTTTGATATGATGTACCCAGGGGGTGTACAGGCATGTGGGAGTCCAGTGGGATTCCAGTGGATTCAGTTTTGACCAATAACATAAAGTTTTGACTAGAAAGATTTTTCACACCCTATATTTCTGTAATCATTTACTCTACACCCCAAATCAGCCCTTCAGGGAGAATCTGAAAATTCAATAAAATACAGGGATTAATTGATATACCTTTATTGCATTGAATACAAAATGATATGCAATCATCATTATTCAATTCTACTGGCTCTCAACCTGGGTCCTTCAGCTGTTGAGTTTATACTAATAATATACTATCAGTCATACTTGATTTTTTTTGCAAATAATCACCATTGATTGTGAAAAAAAGTTTATATTATTTGTTAAGTTCAAATTGTTGAACCAATCAGATAATTATTTTGCTGAGCTGGTCTTCTGGGTGTTTGTTTATTGCCTGTACTTTAGGGTTTCTTCTGATGCAGAATTCTTGTAGCATCTCTATGTTGTTATGTTTTTGACAGAATCTCTGGGCTAATTCATACAGGCATGTCTCTATGAATTTTATACCAGTCATTTCATAGAGCAGTGGGTTGGGTATAATATGAGGCTGGTTGTTATGATGGTGAAGTTATTTTTCAGACCAACATATCATTTTATAAATACTGCTTGCTGTTGTAAAATTTATCCCATTCTTCTGGTATGTCAATCCCCTAAAATGGTTTGCTCTTGAGATCATATTTTCCTTTTTTGCGGGTTATATACTGGTTGAAACTTATCTTATTGTCAAATGTAATCCTAAGCATTTGACTTGCAATTCAGGAATAGAATAGAATTTATTGATCTCATTATATCAAATAATGATATAAGACAGATCAAAATGAACACATTAAAATTTAAGGTCTATCAGAAACTAGAGCATTTATTTACCTTGAAATATTAAAATTTGCCAATAATTTAGGTAAAAAAATACAAGATACAATAACTTAATAGGATGAAGACTGTGCTGATGTAAAATGATGGTAGGTGATGATGGTGAAAGGTGAAACCATGGTTGAGTTCATCAGGCTTTGTAAGTTTGACCAGGGATTTTCCATGTGAAAATGAAGCTATTTCTTCTACATATTGGAGTATGTAGGTTGGCATGGGGAATAATATTGAAATTCTGTTTGGTTGTGTCTCAGTTCTGTAAACCATAAATTGTTCTTCCTAACATTTGTTTCATACTACCAACTCACTCTGTTGTTCATAATAACTTCCTAGTGAAACTTCTCAGCAACACCTAGACATTTATTTTTCACAGTTCACTGTTATAATTTTGATTCATTGACATACATCAAGGTGATATTTGAAAGATGTACATTGTACTTAACTCTGGATCATAAGTAGCCTGAGTATAGATGTCTGCACAGTTTGCATTGTACAATAGAGGAGATAATGGAGATCCCTGCGGAAGTCCTCATTGTGGGGTAAATTCATTCCCATTTTTTTTATTGAATTTTATATATCAATGAAATACTACACACTGTTTTACCACTAACCCAAAGTGATTTTTTACACCTCAACATGTGTTTTGCTAACTATGTTAGCATCTATCATTTTTCATTTATTATGAATTCACCTATACCTGTCAATAAAATCCATTATTATTGTTATTATTATTATTATTGAATGCTCTATCCTAGGTCTACTTATATACTAGGTATATGTCCATCCAACCATGAATAGACAATAACCACCAAGTTAATGTTATTCATGCTTGAGTTCACATGTTGAACTTGGCCTTATATTACTAAACTATACAGAGGGCTGAATGGGATAGGTCCATTATCCTTATTCATTACTCTATAACTATTCTTTAATATCTCTAAACTTTCATATGCACCTAATTTTCTAACATTATAAACTTGCTTAACTAATTTGAGGTTATTGATATGTGTGTTATGATTGTGATTGAACATGTGTTCAGCTACACATGATTTATCTAACCTACCATATTTCAAATGTGCTAAGTGTTCTTAGAACCTTGTTTTTATGAGGCACCTGGCTTGGCCTATACAGGGTGTTTCATGAGCAGACTCACATAGCCGAATGGTTGATAGGGGAAATCAAGACGAGTTGATGTATATATATGAAAACATTTTTTGACCCTCCATAACGAAGATACAGGGTATTATGTGAAATTGCTATATAACTTTGATCGTCGATAGTACAGAAATGATTCGTCGTAATCTACTGAAATTTGGCAGCGACGTATCACTACTGAAACTATTCAAGATGACATATTATGAAAAAAAATATCCAGGTCCGGACTTGGGAAAATTTTATGTTTTATTGTTATGTCAAAAAAGTTCACTTTGTGTCCACTTTTCTCGAAAAATTCCATCAGATTCAGAAAGATCAGACAAAACTCTATGAGAACTGCTCTTCAATTTACACGGCACACTTTGTCCGGTTCAATAAAATAATATGGAACAAAATCGTTCGAATGAATTTTAAATTTCGACCTGGCTGATAACTGTCAACTTTCAACTGGTATCATGTGAATTGATTTTTCCTATATTTTTGTTGAATAGTAATTGACAGAAGAATAGACGAGAAGAAAAACACGATATTTTTTTATCGGAATACTAGATAGATATTATTATTCCTGACTTTGTTTTATGGGTGTCGCTTGAAGTGAGATATCGAGTAGGTCCGGTTTCTCATTTCTGTGACGAGACGTGAAGTTTGTTGATAATCCGAACTGATAGGTAGGTACTAGGCTAGTACTAGGTAGGTACCATCTGATGAAATTACGACATGAGGATTCATGTGCCCATATTATGGCGATTTATCAAATTAGTTATGCCATCACGCATAAACTTAGCTCCATTTTTTGTTATTGATACACTTCTGCAAGTGACATAGGGATATGCATTTGCTATTTATTCAAAATTCCTAATGTTCATCATCGTGAAGTTTTTACTGCAACGTATTCTTGGGTCTGGGAACATTCTATGGTATTAAACATTTTCGTCTTGTTCAGCATTTGGAATATGAAGTGGCACCTAGAGTGTAAGAATATTTCGATTACCAGTTTTTACCTATCAACAAACGTCATGTTACATAAAATAAAAACAGGGCCCACTTTATAATAAATTTATGAAATAGAGTCACGAGTAATCATATCTATCTAGAAGTTCGATCAGAAACTAACATGTCAAATCATTAAAGAATCAGTACTAATCTCTTCTGTCAATTTCTATACAATAAAAATGTACAAAAAATCAATTTACATGAATCCAGTTAAAAGTTGAGAGTTATCAGCCAGGTCGAAATTGAAGATTCATTCGAACGTTTTTGTTCCATATTTTTTTGTTGAACCGGTCAAAGTGTGCCGTGTGAATTGGAGAGCAGTTCTTATAGCATTTTGTCTGATATTTCTGAATCTGATGGATTTTTTTGAGAAAAGTGGTCACAAAGTGAACTTTTTTGACATAACAATGAAATATAAGATTTTACCAAGTACGGACCTGGCTATTTTTTTCATAATATGTTATCTTGAATAGTTTCAGTAGAGGTACGTTGCTGCCAAATTTCAGCAGATTACGACGAATCATTTCTGTAATATCGACCATCAAAGTTATATAGCAATTTCACATAATACCCTGTATCTTCGTTATGGAGGGTCAAAAAATGTTTTCATATATATACATCAACTCGTCTTGATTTCCCCTACTAACCATTTGGCTATGTGAGTCTCCTCATGAAACACCCTGTATATGTTTTATCACACTCATCACACCTAATTTCGTATATTCCTGACTTTTCAAGTGTGCCCACCTTATCTTTTGGATTACCTAATAAATTGCCTAACTTTGACCCAGACTGATGACCGCTTTCAAAACCTAAGTCTTTGAAAACCTTAGTCTTTGAAGACCTCTCCTTTTGTGTACTTGGGATTGAAAGAGATTGGGATTTTTCTTGGATTGTTTTTATCTGCTTGAAAAGTCGACTTATATTTATGTCTATGTATTAATTTATCTACTATTTTTATATCATAACCATTGAAGCCACTTTATAAACAACACTCCTCTCAACATTGAATCTTTGTTTGCTCAGAGGAAATGAAACTTGTTTATGTACTAGGAAATTTAAAGTTGCCATTTTATGTTGAAAACAGTAATTGGAGCCATTAGTTATGTATCTAAGTCTGTTCTAAAAACATCAAATTCTAAATTGTTTTTGCCATTTTTGATCACAAGAACATCTAAGAATAGTAATTGACCGTTATTTTCGCATTCAAAAGTGAATTTGATAGAGGGGAAGTAATTATTCAATTGTGAAATGAAATTATCTATATCTGTAATTTTCGAATAAAAAATGGTAGAAATATCGTTGACATATCTAATCCAAACCCTAGGGAAATACTCGAATTTTTCTTTTGCATTCGTTTCAAAACAATTCATGAACAGTTCAGCCCAGATGATATTTTTGCCATTTTTGACACGATGGCGATGCCGTTAAAACTGAGGGAAACAACTCTCAATCTATGCCAGGAGTGAGGACTGAGGAATGTTTTCCCCCCCCTGTTTCAACGTCATCGCCACGTCAGATAA